CCCCAGAATGAGAAACAACTTTAAATCATAATTATTGACGGATAAATAAACTTTTTACACGCTTTGGAAAATCTCAGAAGTTCGCGGTAGTCACTTTTCGGTAAGGAACTAAGGGACTCGGTTATTGTATCGAGCAGGGTTCGAAACGATCGCAAAGGCGGTATACTACGTATACGCGCCAAAAATCTTTGAATCAATTAAAATCTCACGCAAGGAGAGGGGAGAAGTTATAACAGTTCATAAGGTTGTTTGTTTATGAAGGTTGGGTTTCTCTTCGGGCAAGCCTGACTACCGGCCACCAAGAAAACTGCCCGCATACGCGGTAAATTTGAAAAAGCGCGTTACAAATTACGCAGATTACGCGATTTGGAGTAAGTTTCAAACTTTTTTGATGTGCCCAATGTGATTTTTGAGCGAATTTATATTAAAAAGTGTATCTAGTCGGCTGTATCTCTTGCTTGCAATAAATCCATGAGAAAAGTATGATTCATCGGTGTTTCCTTGGAAATTTTAAAACCACCTAGTGCGATACACACAAAAAAAATTAAAAAATAAAAAAATACTATCAGTAATACTGCAATAATCCTTTGAGCAGGAACACAAAATAAATGAGGTTGATTACTTCTGCCTTTCAAAGTACCTAGAAGTCAACACGGTTTAATAATAAACACACAAATATGCATGTTCTTGGAAATTTAGCAATCTGGATGAGCGTTAATGAGAATACCTACTTGGACTAAACATTTTCATTATATCTTCCCCCTTCGAAATAAAGTAATTATTAAGTTTCTGAACTTGGCAGCTCCGAAGCATTCCGAGCTCATTTTCGGACGTTGAAGTTCATGCAGAAATATGGGTTCAAGAACGCATTTGCGGTGAATTTCTTCCATGGGGAATGGGAACAATGGGCACCAGGACCCGAGGAAGAAGCAGAAATGCTTACCACACCATCGCCACTTCCAACAACGACAAAAGGTTATTGGTAAGTTGATAGAGCGTCCATCCAGATTCTTTGCTGGCGCCCAAAACATATCGTGCAAAATTCTGAATACCGTTGGTATACTAAGAGTGTGAACTTTTTAACGATGTATCTAACCTTCCTCTAACTTCAAAATTCATTATGAATTTGTCTTTCTTTTTCATAACCTAAGAAGCCCGAGGTGAGTCGAACTGACCCGAAGTTTGCTAAAGACACTGGGCTTGCGTGTTTTGCGGGGTAAATATACATGAACTTTAGGTATAGGTCTCTAAATACATCCTAAAAATATAATCAGTCATCTAGTTGAAAATAAAGGGTGGAAAATAAAGTGCGAATACAGCCGAAGACAACAGATGTGTGGCGTTCTTAAACTTTTCTCCGAGTTTGCGCGACACTTGATTGGCAGCATAAAGCGGAGCTTACCGAGTTCACGCCTCAAGCCATCGCGCCTTCAATTTTGCAGATGCAACACGGACATACACTAATTACGAATAGTTGTATCTCTGCGCCGTCATCAAGGTCCGCCCTTCCCCTGCTCTATGGCGTTTCCAGAGGAGAGGGGTGATAAATGCAATAGCTCATCCCGCTCATCATAAGGTTAAAAAAAGGAGATAAAATTGAGGCCTAATTAAACAGAAGGGAACCAAGCCATATCAGCTGTTGCCAAATTCTATTGAGCAGTTTAATTTTTTTACATGAAAACGGTTGTGCGGATTTTCGTGCAAATTGCGGTGAATTTTCTGCGTGCTATGCAGCATATTCTTTAAAATTTTCAAAGGAATCTGCTTAAAGGCCCTCTTGCAAAAAGTTAATTAACTAAAATTTGACAATCGCTGATTTGGCTTGGTTCCTCTTAGATCCATTTTCATGATAAAGGGTGTTATTTCAGTCAATAAAGTGTACCTTTTTATGTATCACGTTTGAATATGAATAGATGACTATCATTTTACTTATGCACGTGATGCATTCTAGATACTCTGGAAATATAGTATTTTACAGTAGAATGATTCTTTGTGTATTAAGAAATGTAGAGTCCACTAAAAATACAAGTATTGTCATTTCAGGGACTAAACTAGGCATCGATGATGACACACAAGAGCCCCAATGAACAACGTTTCCGACCTTTACAATCATCTTCATCTTTGCCAACGCTGGAGTCTCTTTCAGCCACCGCCGTATTGGTATGGAATTTCGATGATAGGCCGGTGAATTTTCAGTTCAAAGAGCAAAACAGCTAGGAAATAGAGAAAATAATAAAATCATTTTGAAAACAAATAAAATTTAATAAAAAGCATTTAAAAGACAATGTATAATTATTTCTTGGTTTTCCGTTTTTATGAACGGATCGTTTTCACAACTATACGCATATCTTTGCCAAAATCCCAAGAGGAAAAATTGATAGACTGACCTTTTATTGAATATAAAATCAGCCCCTTTTTCTGTAAAAAGTTCCAAAGCTGTGAAAATAACTATCTAATTTACTTTAATCCCTGCAGTTAAAGATTTTCGCATTTTCCTATTACTTTTGATTACCTTTCCTTCGGCTAGATTCACGAAAACGATTTTGTTTTTTTTGGTCAAATCAGTCAAAACCTCAGGTTGCTCCGAGACATTTTAAGACTCAAGAAAGTGCATTTGAGGCTTTTTATACCTTAAAGATAGGCACAACGGAACACATATGTTTGAAAAAGCTCTGGTTTTTTATTTAGGATGTTAGTAACGCAAAGGCAACCGTCGAATGTACAGCACATATGGGAATGGGTCAGGAGCAAAAGGGCATAATTGCATTCAAACGCTTCAAAAATATTTGACAATGAAACAATTAATTCAAATTCTGGAATTTTAAAAATTAAACCTTCATACCTAATACTAAATAAAGAAAAACTCGCTAGTTACTGGATGCAATTTTGAAACGTTGCCATGCAATTAAACATTTTTGACTCTTGCCCCTTCATAAACATAGTCTATCAACTAACGTAGTTGTCGTCGTTTTTCTCCCTCAAAATATCCAATTTCCAATTAAAGCACAATTACGTAGCTTCAAAATGTTTGTATTCTTGTCATTGACCACATTCCTCAGGACACGTACATTATTAGTAATATTATGATTTTAGATTTTAATATAAACCTTACAGATATGTACAGGGACTTTTCAACGGTGGTTTCTGCCAAATGATGTTCCAATGTTTAAGAACGCGTGTAATTATGCTCCCATTAATGAAGTTGTCAATATTGTATCCGATAATTTTTAATCCTGATGAGGTGGAGAGAACTTTGCAGTGAAGAAATTGACAGCATAAGGTCCTGCATAACCATATTTGTCTGCAAACTTGCGGTTAGAAAAGTTGTACCTAGGCTCAATATCCCTGCAGATAAAAGAAAACCGGTGCGTGTATAATATTTTACGATTAAAAGGAATGAAACTGGAAAGTTCCACACATTTAGAAGGTTGAATTTTGAGAAGCCAGAAAAAATTAATTCAAGGTTTAATTACGTTAATTCTTGAAGTAAACAAATGCCTTACATAGAAAAAGCTCCGAGAAAATATCCAAGTCCTTTTTCTCCGTCCTCAGATAATCGCAAGTCTATTGTTACAAAAACTGTGTGCACTAAATAGCTTCTACACTCAGGAAATGTTCATTTCAATAATATTTTATCATTACTTCAAATGTAACTTTCAATGTATTGCGCTACTCACACACTAATGTACGCTATTTTTTAGCTTCTGTCTTTGCAAGTTCAAGTTAACGTATGAATTTATTGATGAATGGCAGATTTTGAGTTTGCTAAAAAATTAGAGAGGGGTACTTAAAATCATGCAATCATCAGAAACAATAATTGAGTGCTGTAAGTCGCCACTAAATGTTATTGTTACTTGTCGTAACATGTTTCCAATAACCTTCCGGAGTGGAGGAGGATTCAGTCTATGTTAAAAAATAACCAGCCTCTGTAAGCCCTTAGAATTGGAAATTTACAAAAGGTCATACGGTGAAAATTCTACGTGGCTGTTGGCTAGAAGGAGGCATAGGGAGCCGAAACGTAGTTCCCTTAAAGAGGATTTTTACCCGACCTTGCGATTGGTCAATGCCTAATTCTCCACCCTTCCTCGTTAATACCGGTCTACGGTATTCTGTACATTTCTATTTAAGAGTATTCAACAGACCCCCTCCCCCTCCCCCACTCCAAATCGCTCACAATTCTAGCATCAGCCCTGACATAATGGTTTGTTTGCAAGAAAAATAAGGAAGTCATAACGCATAATGAATACAATTTATGAATAAAAATTATTACCGCTTATCAATGTGTTTCTCCCTGTAGATCATTTCCCCGCAAGGCTGTCGGTATACTATGTATACGTACCGATGTAAACCTATCGAAAAATTAAAAATTATTTAAATGCCGAACTTCAATTAGTTTTAAAGTATTCATAGACTGAACGTCAGACCATCGTCAGTTTTAATCTCGGAATACTAAAAGCGACTTTGTGACAGTGTTTAGTACCAATCATTTTCCTCGCAGCTTATTTTATAACATTTGTATGCCGAAGACATTTTGTATACTCAGCCACATGTTGGGTCAAATTGACCCGTATTTAAAAACATTGATTTTGATAGTTTCTGAAGTCGTAACTATGTTCTTTCTAAGCTTTTGAAGTTGATAAATATTTTTTTGTTGAACATTCCGCTCATTTATTAACACGCTTTCACACCCCCCTCCTCTCATTCGCTCCCCCTATATAACTCGCCCGAAGGGATAGTCGCGGGTCAATTTGACCCGGCTTAAGATTTCTCAGGGTATAGTTTTTTTGTTTTTTTTTTAAAAAAAAGACCTTACGCGACAAAAATCTTGTCAAAATACCAACCTATTAAACGTGCGCGCTCTGTGGCGTGGCACACAAAATAGCTATAAAGGTTTCATTTACCCGAGTTTAACTTTTTTTTTCAAAATGATCATTGATTTAGACACAACATAGCACATGTAGAGCATAACCTTACTTTCCTCAAATTTGGACCTTAATTCAATTATGCTTTCAAATGAGACTCTAATGCGTTGAATATTTTTCATACAGAGCACAAACCTGTATTATTTTCTGGTTTTGGTTGTTGATACTCAGCAATGACATGACCGTTCAAAATTTTGCATATTGGAATGTTTGTGACCAACCAATATAAATATTCACGATGAACTGGCGTCTGGACTGACGGCTCATCCAGACCTGAAGGAAGAAGAGTTCAGAATTATTAGTCTCGACCGTATAATAAAGTCTTGACCTTTCAAGTTAAAAGAGAATTTATGAGCATAGTATCCCTCACTTAAGACGAAGCAAAATGAAATTTTTATGAATTCACTGAATATATATAATACTATGATTGTATAATACGTCTTGTTGTTGATTTCTCTCTCCCAATTTCTCATTCGTTTGTATATCTAACATATGTTATCAGACCTATCGTATCATCTATGAGGCTCCTCTCTAAAATCTCTATTTAGACGAGGTGAAAATTTCTCAGAGTATGTAAAGATCATATCCCGTAAATATTTCTTCGGATATCTTACTGTATCGATACGACTCCAATCGTCATGACAAGAATCGGGACAATTCCTCGTACCTACTAACATCGCAGTGTAGTAAATGTTTTCTTGTGCGTTCCATATCATGTTGAATCTGAGCCATGTCATATCCGGTGCAGGATCCACTTCCGTGCCAAATTTAATGTATACATCACGCGTATATCTTATCTGAACACACAAGAAAATTTCATTGTAATGGTGCTGACTACACTTGAAAAATACACCTTGTGACGAAACAACTCATTTGGCGGTTGTAAGTTTTCTGAAAATATCAGGAGAAAGCAAAAGAATCGCCTTTGAGGCACGTGTAAAGACCAAACTTGTATAAAATATGTGAAGAATTCAGGTTATGAAGTGTTTCTGAGAAAAAAATCGAATCATAGTTTACGAATAGTGCTGGTTCAGAATCATCAAAATAAAATATTATTGCAACAAGTCATTTATTGACACATGAATGAAATAAACTAGGTATACTTGTGGTTATTATGCAAAAGGATCACAGAAAGCATTTTCCGCTAAAAATTCAGATGCAATTTGTTTTAACAACGTGAAGAAATTTTCTGCCTAAATTTTTGCTTTTTGTGTACCAAAGTCTGTTTTCCAGTGGACAGTGGCGATTTTTCAAGTTGACAACACTGTTTATACACCGTTTGAATCCATTAAAAATATCGATTTTAAGTCGATTACAGGAACGATTGTTATCATGTATTTATATGGGAGAAAAACAATGTTGCCAACTTTCATGAATAGCCACTGACTGTGGACAGTCACAAGTACAGACGTGTGGCCTTGGAAGCATTCAATAAAGTCAAAACCACCTAGTGCGACACACATACACACAACATAAAAATAAACATACCAAAAACTCGTGACGTGGTTGGATTGAAAAACATTCGGGTATTATTTTCCATTTTTCCAACTTCTTCACCATTTCCTCTACAGACGTTTCATCCAGAAAATCATCATTTGCCAGCGCAACATCCGGAATAACGAGGAATATTGAGGCCCATACAGGTAAGAGGAAACATTCCAGGTAAAAGAAGTTTAAACACATTTCGATTGCCTGATATCAGATCTTTATTTTAATTTGTTGCACGATCCCGATTTCACTGCAAAAAGGAGGAATTTGGAGTTAGGTTTCCATGATTGAGAAATGAATTAAAGAATTTACCTTTTGCCTTTGTTTAAGTAATTATTTATACTTTCATTTGTTTAAATTTTGATAAAATTAAGTCGTCATGTTAATGCCTGTATCAAGAACAAGATTGTTTCATTTTTTGGGTGATCTACACTCATTCTTCTTCTCTTTTCTGAATTATTTTATAATGTATTACACAAAATGTGTTTGATTTTTTCAAGAATATCCGGTAAATGTTTCTTACACAAATTTCCAGGAATACTTTCTTTAAAAATGAAAAGGAGTGTAAACCTTGAAACATCGTAAGGGTGGTGAGTTTATTGTAGTTCACGGAGAAGATATGATTGTGCTTCGACACACAGGGTGCACAAAACTCGAGGTGCCTCTAAGTTAGGCTTACATCTGTTTTCAATTCAATCTCATCTTAAAGGTAATTTACGTTCATGGGTTAACTCTTTAACACCAATAAGCCCGACTTTGAATGGAGCAAGCATATTATGAAAGGTATGAAGGTTATGAAATTTTAAATTAGTAATTGTCCAATAGCAGTTCACGTAAGATTGTAAGAGTAGATTTTTTAATGTTGATATTGAATCTTATCAGTTCACTGGGGTGTGTAAGATATGAATCATCATTGTTCCCCTTTATCCTAGATAACATTTCTTGTGCACAGAATGAATCGAGTTCACGGAACTTTGTGCGTTTTCGTCTACTTGAAAATTTTCATCTCAAATTACTGCGCGGTAGCAGCCCCTGGAGCTACTAAGACGGCAAGTCTACGGAAAAAAACTCCTGCTGAGATCAAGGACAAGCTGCTCAAGTTCAACGTTATACCTGATATTATACCCGTTGAGAGCTTTCCGGAACATGAAATGCAGGTAAATTACAGATTTATATTTGATTCTTTTTCCAAAAAATAAAAGAAAAAAAAATTAGAGGTTTTTCTAAACGAAAGTTGCATTTACTCAGATCGAAGATATACTGGCCCGCCAAAGAAAAACAAAAAAAAAAGCTTCTAAGAGATCATATAGCCTTAAACTGGCCTTAAAAATCATACAGCCACGTCCTTTGTTGAAAAAAATAAAATAAAATAAAATAAATAAATCTATACATAAATTAAAATTTTAAGGGTCGAAACCTCAAGATCCTTAATTCTGAGGAACCGCCGCACACTGTGGTATTTGACCGAAAAACCTGGCCAAAACCTCAATTTTAAATTTTTTTTTTTTTGGAAAACCAATGTGATATTCGAAATATACACTGTTTTTTACCCCAGTAGCCATGTATGTGCCATTTTTCGAGTGGCTCAATTTCCCGCGAAGAGACCACGAAGTTACCTATTTCTCAGCGATTTTTTTGATGTGTTTTGACGCGCTACTCGTCGATCAGTTTACTTCAACTGTGCGACCATAGGAGGGAAGTTCGGCGATATGCAACACATTCTTAAGGGTATATTCTACACAACTAACCACAGTATTTTCGAAATTTCCTTTTTTAGTGATTTTCACAGGAGGTTGAAAAGTGATGTAAAAGTAAACGTTTTTTTCGAATTTCACAGTCCGATTAAAAATTTCTCTCAACTGCTCTCAAGCGGTTTCAGGCGGAATGTTATAGTCCGAAGTGGGTATTTTCAGGATTCAGGGTCGACAGACTGAGGAAAACTGAGGAAATTGAAATTTTTGACTTCAAACATGGACTTTTGAGCGATTTTCACAAACATGAATGGGAAAAATTATGTCGATACTAACGACTGAAATTGTATTTTTCCAATACCTCTGACCCATTTAGTACGAAATTGGGTGATATTTGGTCACACAACCTGTTTCTCTGGCCCCTACGTCCCCGAAAGAGGGATGAAAAAAATAATTTGAAAGCGGAAGGGAGGGTCATTTTAAAGTCTTGCAAAAGAGTTTAATCCGTTATTTAACGATCTCTTCGTGCATTATCCTTGAGTATAGACATATTCATGCCATGTTTTACTTTGACAGACAAATTTGAGGCCATCCGGCCGTGGGGTGGGGCTTCGAAAGTGGCCCTCTGGCACCATGAAATTACGCTGAGAGGCACATTTTGAAGCCTCGTAAAAGTAATTTTACGATTTTTCCTCAGGCAGCAGATTGTAAAGGGACATCATTAGAACTAAATCTTCCATTATTATCAACCTAAATTTTAAGAAAAAATACAATTGGCCCTCGATAAGTGAGATATGTGGTTTTGTCACGAATTTCGCATTGACTTACGCTGTTTTATATTAAAAAAGGCAATTTCAAAGTTAATGGAGTGCCCTCACTTCGAGATGTAGATCATGGGTTAGGAAGGAACCCATCAAAATGAATCCTTTTCATAGGTGCTTTCTGTCCTCACAATGGTTCTTATTTTGATAAAACTGATTTTCATCCCATAAGTTATCCTCAAATCATCATATGGAGGTCCCGGCACTTTCATACTAGCACTAATTTTGATTCAAAACAGTCAAAAATCTAATATCTAGAATGATTCATATTAATTTTTTTGAGAAATGTACATTTACTCCTCAATGTGAGAGATCGGCTGTTTCGTCAAAAATTTTGAAAGGACTTACGCTGTTTCATAAAAAAACCATTAATGAGGTCATAGAGAGTCCTTATTTCGAAAAGTGGACCACAGATGAAGGAGAAACTCGTCTAAATGCACCGCTTTAGTCAGATACTTTGCGTCCTTTTAAAGGCTTTTTGGAGGGCTTCTTCCATCCTCTTTAAACTCTCCGCAAATTGTCATATGATGTGTTAGGTGGATAAATTGTGCATATTATCACTTAAGAAGAAGTACTGATTGTAAAATATTTTTAAAACTCGGCGATATCTGGTGATAAATAGTTTTGGCCAGCTTTTCAGGTCCAATACCACAGTGTGCGCCGGTCCGATTTCCTTAAATTTTGTTCCAAACCAAAGGCATTGATGTTCAGATGATACAAGAAATACAAAACTTCAAAATCTGCTCTTGAAAGTCCCATAATCACTCGCTTATCGGGGGTCGTAGTCGGGTAAGATGAGGAGGCAAGCGAAGCAAGCTAAAGCAGCCAGTAAAAATAAAATAAATAAATAGCTGGAAATATGGATGACAGAATATACGATTATTCGATGAAATGGGAGTTAACACTTCCTTTGAATTCAAGTGTCATAAACCGACGGATTCATAAAAATATTAGTCTCTTTATATTTTTATTTATTCTGTAGTAAAATAATTAATTTTGTTATCAACATCAGATTGATGGCGCAGAGCGATCCCAATTTTTATATCAATGCCATGCAGTTTTTAGGGTAGTGGTAGTGGGTAAAATGTCGAAAACTCTCCGTGTAATGATTGCATACATTCATGAATGCAACATTTTTGGAGTTGGAACTTTTCGAAGCAAACGATTCAATTTGCGACATGTTCGTAGGTAGTTTGGCCTGAAGCAAAAGCCGATCTTGGCAACCTCATTCCACCAAACCTCACTGTGACACAACCTAATGTTTCATGGCCTTCATCTGAAGGACATTACTACACTCTACTTATGGTTGGTAAGTTTCAGTTTACTTCATATTTCAAAACAAACTAAGAATCAGTGCTATGTGTTATTCACTCTTTCAAAATTTGTTAGTCTCTTTCCGGGTAGACTTAGTGGCTAGCTATTTAAAATAACTCTCCAAGGGCCCGCTAAATTTGAAAAACGCCCAACGAGGGGTGCAAATTATGCGTTGATGAGTGGATTTTAAATTTTTCTAATTATTTCAACGTACGATTTTCTGCGACTTTTTCGATGAAAATAGAGCTGAGTTGATTGTTTCCTTTGTTTGCGACAGAACCAATCTTGCATTAAGTTTCTTGTGATTTATCTTTGACTTTTCAAGGAAATTCTTTGAAAATTTAATACTTACGTGTTTGATAATGACCTCTCTTGAAATCATGTATGAGGATTAGATTAAAATACTTATACGTGTTAAAACAGGGCAAAAAAAAAGTTCGTACTTTTAGATTTGCCATTGACACATTCAACAGGAATACTTATTCTTAGCGCATGCATAAACTTGAAATTATGCGGCCAATGATCTCGATTTTCTTCTTAATCATTGTTCTGTTTCTGAAATCTGTGAAAGTTTCAAAGTTCTGGGGCTGAGAGTAACTTCTGAATTATTTTCAGCTCAGATGACATGGAACCCCTCCTGCGAAACGTGTTTCTTATTATGAATAGTGGAAACAGGGCCGGATTACGAAGGTGGCCATATGGGCCGCGGCCCATGGCGGCAAAATGTAGGGAGCGGCAAATTTTGCAATCTTTTTGAATGTAGGTATCAAAAAAAGAGAGAAAAAAATCGGATTCAGAAAATTAATTACAATCTAGAAAAGGCGACAGAATCTCTCATTTCCTGAGAGTAAGAGTGTGGTAATTTCTAATTTTGTCGTTTTTCGGTGATACAAGAGACAGCACCTTTAATTATTCGAGTTAAGAGAGAAACCAAACACGCAATTTCACCTGAAGCGGAGCGGCGCAGAGAGCAAAATGACGAGGACTGAGATAAAAAGGAGGAGTCCTCGGCCGTGGCGGCGTGTGGCGGTCGGCTTGAAACGCGTAGCGCCGACAAGACTGCATGGATACTTCACGCATTGCACCGAACACAGTGCGGTGGGCGCGGCGGCGGAAGTTAAAATTATTAAACCACATTTATTTTTGTTCTTTCATAATTTTTCCGTTCGTTTGTTATAAACGGAAGGCCTTGTCCACACTGGGATGGGTTTGCGGGACTTAACTTTCTCTCAAAGTTCCGTGAATTTTTGTTAGTGTTGACAGGGCTTCCACAAAAAATGTGCCCAACACGAATAAACGCGTCTCATGCACCCCTCCCCCACCGGCACGTTCACTTGATGATTTTTATAGATCGTATTCGATAGATCAACTAAGTGAGATTATATGGATATCGATTGGTTCAATATGTAAACGCAGCCCTAAAAGTCAATTTAGAAATCCTTGGTGACGGGTCTTATGTGATCGATTTTTTATTCTATCGAGTACCAAATGGCAATGAAAAGTGAAATTGTCAGGAATTTTCTCATTTACAACTTTTCCAAATTAAATCCTAAAATTTTTGCTTGAGGCTATGTTCTATTGCTTTGAACCAAAAGATACAACGAACCACTATCGAATACGACCTACTACTCAAAACGAATGAGAAGGTGGCGGAAAGATACAGGCGGCCCATGGGCGGCAAGTAGGTAAATCCGGCCCTGAGTGGAAATATATTTTCAGTGCAGTTCAGTAGATCTTAAGATCTAATAATTATTGTAAAAAACCATGTATTTTATCACATAAATACTACGCATTTATATGCTATATCATTGTTTCTTTTTAGACCCAGACAGAGATCAAGATATGGAGTTTGGAGAATCAAAAGATTACTTTAATGAATATCAATGTTGGTTGGTTGGCAATATTCCTGGCAGCAATTTATCAGCTGGAGAAAAATTTACAGATTACGTCCCTCCTATCAAACCTAAACCTTTATGTTCGTACAAAAATACTTTGCATAATTTCTTCAGCGTACATTATCATCCATTCATGCCTTTATCAAATGATTACAGATCCTGGTATCAGTCTTTGTAACTCGTTTTTTTGTTTTATACGCAATTTTTCAAAAATATCTTAGCTATCCTGGCTGATACCAGCTCACGATTAAAACAAATCGAGTGCGAATCAGTTGAGCCGAACTAAGAAAATAAGTTTCTCACAAAATAAAGTTCGCATATACCTATTTTGTACGTGACCGACCACGATAAAAAAGGGTCTCATAATTATGATATAATTATCGTCGTCTTTTATTATATATATAATCGGTTCAAGAAGGTAAAATTTTCAGCATAGCTATTTTTATCGAATCCACTCGAAACATTTGACTCTGGATTTTGACGAAAAACTCTGAAGTTCTAAAGGCGAGCAATGTTTATCATAAATATATTTTTTCAGTTAGTCACCATACGAACAATTGGACTGCATTTTGCAATTTGGAACTATAAATTCTGGCTCTTCTGGAAAAACACTTATGTGCATAGGGAAACAAATGGCACATGCGTCTTTTTTAAACCGGACTAGAATTTATAGTTCCAAATTGCAAAATGCAGTTCAATTGACATACAATTGAAATGTTTTCTCCGTGAATAATGCATGAAAATCATATTGATTTTTTGACATCATGATTTTAATAATGCATCGAGTTCTTTTCCTCTTGTGGATATTTCAGATTTCATGCGGACCGTATTTTTTGTATTTGAACACGCAAACAAGACAACTATAAAATATGAAGAACCGCGATTGCTTTCAGAGTAAGTTGTATTAAAACTAACTTACATTTTCCGACTCGTCTCTCGCATGATTCTAAATGAACGTATTTCTATCAAACGGAACTATGTGCATTAAGACATGAGCCCTGAGACCCATAAGAATACATGCAAAACAGGGCTCACGTCATAATGCACATAGTTCCGTTTGACAGAAATACGTCCAAATGTTTTTCGGGCTTAAAAAAGGCAAGGCACTCGAATATCATTAAATGATATATCTTTAAACGTGTTTCACGTGGTCAAAACAAAAAAAAACACCTCAGAATTTTTGTCCTCATTTCATTATTCTGGTTATATTTAAGAAAAATGCGTGTGGCTCAAAAACTCGTAGGTTTTAAAATATTAAAGATCGATAATGATTTTGGGTGAAAACAAGCACAACATGTAAGTTTATAAAAACTATATTATTAGTTATAAGGATATCATCTTTTGCTCTTAACATGTTTTACGAAAATAAAAAGTCAATACTGACAGGATGACCCTGATGATAAACCCAATTGGCGATATCACTTTGATAATAGTGATACGGAGTTTTATAAACAGATGTGGTAGCATACTCTCGATCACCACTCGCCACTTAGTAGTGGGCTTACTTCAAATTACATCGTCGGGTGTGTTGTTTTTACTCCAGACTTGTGGATGTAATGTCCCGGGTTGGTCATATGGTGACAATTCACAAAACCGAAACCGAAATAAAAACACGAAAAACCAAAAAACTAAGAAACTAAAACGGAAAAACTAGCAGAAGCGAACTAAAACAAAAAACTGAGGAAAAAAACGGAAAAACGACGGTTGCTTCGAGATCACCGTCACTCCTGATTCGGTTGCATGGTGGAGCGATATCGTTTGTTTTAATAAACTTAAATTCATGGATATTTTGTGTCAGCGGAATCGTATTTGGCACACTGGAAAAAAAAAACACATTGGATCTACAGTCCAGACTCTTAAAAACATTTACAAGAAAAAATACTCTTGATTAAATCAGATTTAAGCTTAAATCAAGAACCAAGCCTCTTAATTTGAGCGGATTTCCTTTTGATTTAAGGTAAAATCTGATTGAATCAAGAGTCCATTTTCTTTTCAATGTTTTCAAGAGTCTGGACAAGGGTCTGTTTAAATACTATTCCTTTTTCTGGATTTCCTCCTGTTCTTGGATTCTTAATTAAAGGATTCGTGATTAATTATCTTTGATATCTTGGTTTTAAGTTCTTAGTAAGATTAATGATCTAAATTTCGATTTTTTTTTTTTTTTTTTTTTTTTTTTTTTTTTTTTTTTTTTTTTTTTTTTTTTTTGGGGCAGTTCAAATGCGTTTTTTTTCCCAGTGTAAGATACTCAATTTTTATTCATTATCTCCGACATAAAAATGATTTAGCCCACCTTCAAGATAAATCAATTTTTCATTTCATGAATATAGTAGTGGCGAGGACGCATGGCGCGCTCATTTTCGGACGAGAAAGTTCATGAAGAAATATGGGTTCAAGAACGCATACGCGGTCAACTTCTTCCACGGTGAATGGGACGCATGGGTACCACCGGGACCCGAGGAGGAAGCCGAAATGCTTATCACTCTATCTGCACCGCCTATAACGACAAGGAGTTACTGGTGAGTTGATGGAATACCGCATGCAAAATCCGATCCATTTTAAAACATGATGTACTTAAAATTAGCACATCGTTAGATCGCTGGGACTATGCGAATCAGTGTTCGAAACTCACCTTTGAGTTTTAGGAGCCACGTGGCGCATCAAGCCCGATTTATAGGTGCCATTGAAGATTTTTTAGGGGCCAAAGTGACTTTTTGCCTATATCTTACGGCGCATTTAGTGAAAAGTTAGACGCAAGATGTTTTCGTAACAGAACTAGTGAGTAGCTGTAACTTGGGGAAGACAAAAGCATTAAGAATGAAATCTCGAAGAAGAGAAAAAACCAGCTTTCACTTGTAGTGCTGAAAATTCTGAGTTTTTTCAATTCAAATAGATTTGTTCTTCTTTCTTAATGTGACTTCCTGTGAAAATTCAGATTTTTAGGGGCCACGTTGGCGCAGAGCCTTCATTTTTTAGGCGCCATGGCCGATTTTTAGGCGCATTTGGTGCGTTGGCGCCTGCGAGTTTCGAACACTGATGCGAATATATTATAAAATAGTCCGATTTTGCTATTACTGCTGCATGGTTTGCGAGACCAGAATAATGTTTACCATATATAAAAGGAACATCGTAACCTTAAAAGTAGAGCCGAAAACTTGAATGGAGATGTTGCATGTGTGAGGAATTTGCGATTTGACTGTTGATTCTCATGTAAAAGTTCGCCAGAAACACGATGGTGCCACTGGTTTTTTCTGAAATCAACTCCCAAGTTCAAAAAAAGCTCTCAAGTTGCGGCCAAAATGGAGGGGATATCCCACCCTACCCTGAGAGTCCACCTCTACATCAAGACAAACTCTCCATGCAAAGATAGGGAGCAAATACATTGACAGGGCTGCCACTTCATTTGGGGACTCTAAAACTGAAAACACGGCATCACTGCTAATTTATTTGCTCCCTATTTTTGCATGGAGAGTTTGTCTTGATGTAGACGTGGACTCGATGCACTCTGGGGTCTCCCAAAGAGTTCTCCCGAGTGCTTTTGGAAAATTACATTTTACGATACACGAGTAGTTTATTTTCAGCACATTAAATTGAATTATTTTTTAAAAATATATTTCTCGTCATTTCAGGGACTAAGTTAATCGTAATAAACTACGTTTCCGAGCTTTTCGGTCATCTTGAGGCCAAAAGAAGTTTCTTTCTATTGGTCGACACTGAATTGCGATAATATCAACAAGTGGATGGACGGTTCCAGGAGCAAAAACTTACTTTGTCAAGCAGCTGATAGATGAATGGATAAAAGTATGTTTGCAGTTAAGTAGATCTTATGGAGAGCGTTGAAAAGACAAAATGTCATGTCATTCTTAAATTATCGTTTTTATTTCCATTTTTGACTACTTTGTTTTTCACAAAGAGTTCCCTCATAAGGCCCCTCTCCCCTCTTACCTCCCAAATTTTGGCAGATAATTGAGCCTTCATTTGATAAAAATAGTTACCAGCCTGCATTTGGAAAAGAATCAGTTCTGTGACACATGAGTCATCTTGAATTGTGTAAAATATGCAGAGAAAAATTATTTTTTGCTATTTTTCATTATCGATAAAAACTACGACTTCGCGCCTGTAAATTACAACAAATCAGGAACAGAATGAAACATTTTTGATAATATCTAGATTTTGGGGATAATCAGAACTTATAATGTCGTTTCTCTCACATTAGGGCGTAATTCTATTTCACGTGAGTTCTGGAAAGCATGGAGTTATACGGGAAAAAGGACTCATATGGAATAGTGAAGATACGCCCCTAATGAAATTGTGAAACGTTGTTATACACTTTAACCCTTCCTGACCCTAACTCCTGCATAAGTCATTAACTGTTTTAGCCATCGTCGGTTACTTACTCCTTCCTTCCCTATTCCCCAATCTACAAAATTAACGTGCTTAGCCCAAATTACAAATGAGGTGAATCGTCGTCATTGCCTATATAGGCATCCTCCAGGTCACGTACATCATCGTAAGGGCCACTGGTTCACCCAGGTCGTACTTGCGGGAAAAATTTCTAACACAAAAATTCCGTCGTTCCTTGCCATCGTATCTATCAAATAAAAGACATAGTATAAATCTATTTTTTACAAGTGATTTCATAATGATTGGCCATTTTTAGATGAAGTACAATAAAGTTAAATATTCTACACTTAAATGTTGAGTCTCGTTACTTTCAAGAAGGTATATATCTTTAAGCGCTAAAGGTTAAGCAATAATTGCATAAAGGGTTGGGGTAGTTGTTGACGTTAGAGTCAGGAGAAAAGGGGCAGAGTATCATTACATGTTCGACTATGAATGTTCCTGAGCAATTGAGCATGCGCTGCGATATAAAAAGTAGCCCTGAGTGCTATTTGGCAGGCAACCGTTGAAGGGATGAGCTAGGTTAAATTTCATTCTATTGAAGGCCACTCGTAAAATTTGACCAATTTAGATAAAAATGTCCAAGAAACGTTGGTAAAGCTTCCTCATTTTATCTCCAAGTCTTGGTCAAAAACCTTTTGAGGCTTGATAAGTGTATTCTATGCAAAAACTATTAGATTATTTACAAATAGTTTTTCAATCCAAAAAGTTTGCCCTGTAAAAATAGGCTATATTGCTCGCCTTCGGAACAAATGGATGTATTATTCATCTTAAAAAAAAAACTGTGCAAAAGTATATTCAATAAAAAAGAGCATGTACATAGGATTTGCACGCTACGCAGCTCCATCCATTTGCACAGTTCCTTAGAGCAGATAAATACGTCCACATCTAACTCTTAGGTTGGCTCAAAATAATTTGGTCGGTTCCGAGGAGACTAAGCTCAGTACAAATAAAAATGACGCCAATTTTGATAAGTGGCCACAATGTCAGCTCAGCAATCACAGGGTCATCGCTGATGGGTCCTCAGAAGCGCTAAGCAGAACTTTAAATAAGTCTCATTTTTGTTTCGTGCTGATCTAGAAGCAGATCCATTCTGAAAGTCAAAAGAGGTATTTTCGACCGGAAAACGTGCAAACGAATCTCTCACCTCGCGTCCGTTAATTTCTCTTCAAATTCTATTTTTTGTTTTTGCTTGTATACCAAGAAAAAAATTCTATGCGCACCTAGAACACAAAGTCAATATTTGAATAAAACATCAATTTCTTATTTCTCCTCTTTTTTTCTCTCTAAATTTCAGTATTTTTAGCTCAGAGAGGTTAGAATGTACAGACGGAAGGACTTGTACTCATTCTGAGCATCATATATGCCGATGTTAATCTGACGAAATCAAGATCTAACGATTGGTGCACCTGACATTGCTCTCCCTCTTATAAATAATTTAAGTTTCTGGCTTCTTGTTCCTTCACTAATTTTTATATCAATTAGAATGCTTGTTAGTGTAGGGACTGGTACTGGGTGAGCTGTTTTATCCTCCTCTGTCTTTAAGATTAGCTCATAGAGGTTTATCAGTTGGCTCTTACGCTAGCCGAGACCGTGCCTCATTACCTCGCAATTGAAATGTTTTAAAGGGGGATTGAAAATTGAAATGACCGCTAAATTGAAAATTTTGAGATAGAGAGCTTTTTTTTGCACCCATTCTAGGCGTGGACAATCATTCATGGCGAAACTTTCAATCTACTACTACAAAACTACAATACTACCTGCGTGCGCTGTCCGAAAATGAGCATTAAACATACACGAGGAATGAATGCTGAATTTCCTCAACCGTATCTTATAGTATAATTAAGGAGCTTACCACCTGGATGAGGTACTTGAGGAGGTTGATATTTTGATATGATCTGTCCGTCAAACGTGGAGTTGCCAGGAATGTTTCCAACCAACCAGTTCCGATATTCTCTCCACTCATGATTTTTTGGTGTTGGCATATCAGGGTCTAGAAAAAACGATTGGTCTTTTGGTACTGCTTGTATAAACGTCCCGTTTGTGACGAAGAATAAACTGACAACATTTAAGTCATTACTTTGATTTGAATTTTGGTTGGTAAAGAAGAAAAAAATGAGAGGGAATTAGGCAGTGCCTGACATAATTGGGCTGACTCTGATTATTAATATTTCCATTCAGGATTCACTTTGGAAAAATTTGAGGTGGAGGAAAAACAATTCGAGGTGTTTGCCATCGTCAACTCACCTATCATAACCAGCGTGTACAGGGTCGTGTTGCTCTCTATGGGCCATCTCGTGCTCACGGGTGCTGTCTGGATAGTCGTATCATTAGGCATCAAGTGAACGAAAAACGTGGGGTACCAACCGTCACTGAACCTCAGCTGAATTATCATTCAAACCCATATATTTACAACAAAGAGTTATGGATAAAATTGAACAGAAATTGAACTTGTAGGAGATTCATTACCTTTCGAATAGTCCCTAGACAGCTGAGCTGAAAGGTGACGTAACGGATCCATAGAAATGACTAATATCAATGAATGGTTGAGTGACAGATTTACATTCTATTCCAAGAGTCCCCTTTAAAATGTCAAGTGCAATAATGTTTGCTTTAAATTTCCCATTTTCCTGCTTTTTTCGGCTCAAAAAAATGCTCTACGTTGTCGACTGTTATCGTTTCCAACAATATACACTACTTTTCTCACGATGAAAAAGATGTACATTTTCTCATATTGACGGTGAAACTCCCGAACCCCGTATCTCGTTTATAATGTTAAAAAATCTCCGCTACTTTTTCATTTTCTAAAAGAGAAAAAATCATTAGGGTTTTCTTAGAATTTGCTCCTAGTATAGAAGTAAAATCACGAACAATTTTAAGAATGGACGTTGAGTAGCTCTCAATTTAAAAAATGAAGTAAGTGGCAGCCGTTATCTTCTGCCATCATGTCAAAGCTATACTGTAGAAGGCGCTCTGAGCAACTATTCCACCACCGAAGTATTGCACAGTATCAGAAGAAAATGAAGGCGCACTAACGTTTGCAAAGGTATAGGTGTTGTTTACCCCTTTCTAGCCCTCTGCTACTGATCGTGCGATATGCGGCTCCTATTCAATCTAGTTTTGCAAAAATTAGTACCTTGTTTGACGAGAAACATGAATCTCAACACAAATTTTTAAAATTTGAAAATCCAAGATGGTGGATGTGGCCTGAAACTCTATCTCGGCTCCTTGATCGAGTTTTGTGAAACTTGTTGTCAGTGGGTATCTTCCGACTCAAAAGTCAAATTCCAGTCAAATTTCCAAAATTCAAAAATCAAAGACGGCGGAATTGGCCTGGGATGCCATTTTGGTGCCTCCGAAGCTATTCGAACAATCGAGAATTTTATTCTTTTTCTTTTCAGTTTATAAAATTAAATCGATGCACTCTCAGCTATTTACACCTCAAAATCGGCGCTCTATTCAACTTTCACGAGTTGAAACTATTCGTTTATTTATTCATGCATTTAAGTTGTTCTCCCTCTCTCGGAGGAATTTAATCGAAGTTAATAATCTTTACATCATAGACGTAAACTCGCGAAAGCGAGCTGATGTCAGCTCCAAACATTAGTCCTAGTTAAAATTTGCAAAGTTTTTAATTTCCAAATCGAACGGTTCTAGCGTAGTTCGAGGAAAAAATCTAACGATTAAGTTCATTACCTGTTACGCTTCGTAATTTTAACGCAGAATGCGTTCCGTTCATCTGATTGCCAGCTTATCTTTGTGTAGTCAATGTTTGTAAAATGCATAACTTTTTACCTATTCGCACTTGTGACACTTAAATGTGGTATTATTATTACGATTTTGAATTTTGAATTCCAAACCTTGATTTTGTACGTGGGCAAGTCATCGATGATGTCCGGTATTATTTTCCACTGTCTGAGAAGGTCATCCTTCGCTTCCCAGCTCTGTCCCCGCGGTCCACCGATCGGCCCTTTCAAAGGGTGTAACTCAGCAGATGCATAACAAATCAACTCAAAAATGAAGAGTACAGTCACTAGCATACTCGGTCAATACTTTTCTTGAAAGCTGCACTGGAAAAAAAAACACATTGGATCTAGAATCCAGACTCCCCTAGAGCCCAGTCCTAGAGACAGTACTCTTGATTCAATCAGAATCTAGCTTAAATCAAGAACCAAGCCTCTTAATTTAAGCGGATTTCGTTTTGATTCAAGCAAAAATCCGATTGAATCAAGAGTATTTTTTCTTGTCAGTGTTTTCAAGAATCTAGATCTCAATGTGTTTTTATGTTTCCACTGTGAGGTATACTTTAACAAATACATCGCCTAAGGACTTCTCGAGGAAAACTATTGACAACATTACAAGACGGGAATTAAGTCACTGGTTAAGTATTATCACGACCACGGATCACATGATTATCAGTTTGATAAAACACCAGTGATAAGGCTTTCAATTAAAATTGTGTCTGGCATTAGTCTGTTGTGCTGCCGTTAAAATAAAGTGCGCGAGTGAATCAACGTTGACTCATTCATAATGAAATCATAAATCATAATCATAACTATAATGTTATATTTACAGTAATCAGGGGATAAAATAAAGAATTAAACGCATATTATACACTTCAAGCAGTTATAATTGGACCGAGTTAAGCAGAAAGGAAGCAACCCACATTTTGGAAAAAATTGAGTTATGAGTGGTTTTGAGCTCAACCAATGCTCTACTATCCATCGCTAAAAATTCAAAGTTTTTGTTGGAGCAAATTTTGCAGAAATTGAACTTGAGGTTTATCTTTTACATTGAGTCTTATGCAGGAGCCAAACTTAAAACCTCTTTTTCTCGGTCCGATCCCGATGTGCCTTGGTTCCTTTCTGTTTAACTCCGTGCAATTGATTTAGGGGGGAAAATTGTAAGCCTTAGACTATTTTACACTAAGAATTCCTCAGGGAATAATTTAAAATCTTCATTGAAATATGCTAGGTAATTATCTCCTTAATCTACGTTTGTATCACACACGCAGGAAGAACCTCTGGTTTTTGTGAAATACGGAATTTTACCTTCTCATTACCAAATAAATATTTTTTTGAATACTTCTTTGATTTTTCAGATTTTGAAATAAATTTTTGATACCTCAAGATGACAATCGATCTCAGAGATGAAGAATGCACTCAACGATCACTGAATTGGATTTGCCATGTCTCTTCAATCATGCTAGGATTTTCTGTAATTTTTTCGGAGGGTTTCTATTTTGTCACAGATCAACAATATGAAGAAGAATTGAAATTAGGTAACATTATTCCAGATGTTGTCGACAAAATACCAGAGGACGTTCTCCAAGTGAGTGTTAACAGTATCCTTTATCATACAGTTATTTTGACTTCATTTTAGCGACGGCAATGCTTTTTAGCCCACGCATTTCAGAAATTGGATGTACTGTCAGGTGCCAGTGCCTGATATGTCCCAAATCACAATCTCATTAATTTTTGAACCAGAGTCAGAATTCGCGCGTTGGTTTTAATTAAAACTAGAAAAAAAGTTCTCGGAGCTTTTCAGAGCTTTCAGATCAAAACTTTTGGACGAAAAAAAGATTATTTTACGGTCCAAATCTACCTTTCACTTTCCAGTACGTGACGTCATCCAAAAATATAAAGGGCTACTAAACTGAAATTTCTGTTATAGAAGGGCATGAATTTGAATCTGTGCACAAGAATCACTGATATGAGAAAAATGTACACCGATAAAGTATTTAAAAGGGCCTGAGGATATCAACCAGACATTAAACGCCGTGCCACGTCAATGTCACCATAAAGATTGGACGTATTTATGCTAAAAGGATCCATGTGCAGCATAGTTCCTTTTAGCATAAATACGTCCAATTGTGTGTGGAACATAAGCTTGATTTAAGCAGCCTTCTATACGAATTAAATCAAGTTGCAATACATATATTAGTTTTTGATACAGCCGAGTAAAATTTTATGAGCTAATCATTGTAGCAATTATAATACCGAACTTTGTTTTTTTCAGGTTGAATATTACAATGGAATAGAACCAAATCTGGGCCATATTTTAACCGCTCATGAGGTATACATACCTCCTGTGTCTGTAAGGTGGAGATTGGTTGATAGGAAAAAATTGCACACTATCATACTCATGGGTAAGGATATAAAAAAGAAGAAACAAGTTTTTTATTGAATAAATAATAACATTAAGCTCAAGTCTGATTGATTATTTCAGTCGTTGAGATTGCCACGAAAAATATACTTACTTATTTTACAATTATTATAACATCTAAAGGAGCTTGGAATAAAGCAGTACCTACGTCACAGAATGTGAAAGCTCGTCAATACACGTACGTTATAATATTGTCCTATCTTTTTTGAACATTGAATAATTGCGTTCAGTTGCATTTTTATTAGTTTCACATTTCTTTTTTGCCATGGTCAGCTAATATTAAATATTTTTTCGTAGTAAAGTATTTTCAAATTTTAAAAACAAATTTGCTGACCGACAATGACCCAATACTATTTACAGGAAGCAATCCGCAATTATCTGAGTTTAAAACGTCTCAATGGATGAAACTAAAATATGTTTTTAGGAAATGCTGTGGGTTTTAATAAGTATATGTGCTCGTGCATTCTCCTTTTTTTAAAAAAAATCTAGCACAGAGATAGAAATTCTAACGATTATCAATTTTTAATACACTTTCGGGAGATTTTCGACTTTTGCCTTGCCATATTAGCATTATACCATAAAAGAAACTCTAATTTGTGAAACCGTCGTTTCAGATCTAGACGCACCAATTACAGAAAAACCAACAGATCGGTCTTACGTGCATTGGATGTTGACGAATGTGAAAGGAGAACAATTTAGAAAACCAAAACGCAATGTAAAGGCTGCTTACCAGCCAGTGATAGTCCCAGAGGAGGACAAAGGTAAAATTTAGCATAATTATGACATTCAATGAGGAAAAAAACCCTGTTACCTACACGGACCATTAAGTGCAGTAGGATTTTCGGTTCATAGGATTGTGCTCTCAATAGCGCAAATTGACCTCTTTCCTCGAAAAATCCGAATTTCGGTTCCAAAAACGGCGTGAGTGAGCTCACGTCATATTTTTTGTTAAGAGATTTTTTAAAATCGGCACACATTTCAGTGTTGCCACATGATTTTTCAAGTTCGTTGCTTAATTTTTGAACGAAATATGAGATTTTCTCCTGAAGAGGAGTGACTCGTACCTGGTTAGAGATATTTACAAATTTTGACGAGTTATTACCCTACGAGCAAGCCCAATAGGCGACAAACTAGCCAGCAATAGCAACGAAATCAAGAGCAAATATCTCTGAACGTAATTTTACAAAAAATTATGTGCTCAGTCTGTGATGGAAATGGCGATTGTATTTTTATTTTAACTCTTAATGTAACTTCAATCTTAATTTTCTCACGATTGAAGCGTATTTATAGCCGTACATCATTTAATTTACAGGAAAACATCGGTTGGTGTTCCTTTGTTACATCCAGAAAGAAAACATCACCATCGAGGAAAAATTCGACGATAAAGATGGGTAAGTTTGTTTCGTCCATGAGTTATTAAAAATTTCCAATTTGACGGTGCAATTCCGCAACCACGTATCTCGTTTGCGGTGTTTGAAAATCTCCTTTTATTTTTAATTTGTTATGGAAACAAAGCGGCATCATTCCTTGAAGTTTTTGCAGAATTGTTTTCACACGGTGGACTAAAAATCACGAGAGTTTTCAAGAATTCGCTATTGCGTAGTTTTCCATTGAAGAATTCAAGTATGACCGGGAGTCTGCAACGTCGTTAAGCGAGATGCGTGGCTGCGGGCTTACACAGTCGAATTGCTTCGTTATTCAACCAAATATGGAGCCTTACGTCATTTCGTAAACGTCATCTTATTTCATGTTACAGAAATCCAGATAAGGCAGCTAGATCAAAATTTTCGCACAGTAAATTTGCAGAGAAATACAATTTCGACCGTCTGACCGCTCTCAACTGGTTTTACGTGGAGCATTACCCAAATTTTACTTACACAACTATCCACCCAGAGGCACTTAAAATTTAATTGAGGAAAATAATCGTTAAACTCTTGAAATAAATTGAGACTTTGACATTAAAAATTGAATGTTTCTTTTTTTTGTATGGATTTACCTCTTCTTTCACTTCTTTTCCCTTAAGGTGATTCGATGGAAGCCATTTTTTGTGTCAAAGTGACGTGCGATATATCACATCGATTAGATCCATAATTTCAGCTACTTGTAATTTGCTTCAAATTTTGAGATCGCACTTCTGTTGTCATGAAACTGAAGAACTCATGTACCAAATTTGACAAAGAAATTCAAACGTTCAACGTAGTAAAGGCGTGGTTTTTTTAGAGGAAAAATATCGCATTCGATACTGATATCGAAACTGCGCTCGAATGCGATATTTTCCCTCTAAAAAAATCACGCCTTTATTACGTTGAATTTCTTTGTCTTTAACATTCAATGCAAAAAGCTCTCAATTTGAGGCCAAAATGGTGAGGATATCCCACGCTATCCTGAGAGGCCACCTCTACACCCAGACAAACTCTCCATGCCTTTAAAGATAGGGAGCAAATACACTGACAGTGTTGCCGTGATTTCAGTTTTAGAGTCCTCAAATAAGGTGGCCGCCCTGTCAATGTATTTGCTCATCATATTTGCATAGAGAGTTCGTCTTGATGTAGAGGTGGACTCTCGGGATAGCGTGGGATATCCCCTCTATTTTGGCCTCAACTTGAGAGCTTTTTTGGAGCTCGGGAGTTAATTTCAGAGAAAACCAGTGGCACCATCGAGTTTCTCGCAAACTTTTACGTAAGAATCAATAGTCAAATTGCAAATTCCTCACACATGCGACATCTCCATTTCCATTGGACCGGTTTATGCTAAAAGAAACCGTGTGCATGGTCAGTGCAACATTGGTCTTTCTAGCATAAATATGTCCAATTTCATATTTATACTGCAAAAAATGGAGAGTGTATTACACTGCTTTTATAATGACACATTACTTTTCCGAAGCACATACGCATGACAAAGATTGAAGAACTTTTTGAGGACTGTTTCGTCATTATTTAGTATGAGATAGTGTATAGATTGAAATCACTGATTAGATTTCCCAAATTTCATAGAGGCTACTTGAAATTTCAATGTCGTTAGTTTGCTTAAAGAATCAGATGAATCCTCTGTGTAAAGATGTCTGATGAGCTGTTATCTCGTTATCATTATCCACTCAGCATTGATGTAAGCATAGTGTAGTGTTAGTGTATGGAGAATTTTTTTTCTTTTAAAAAAATGGCGGAGTATAGATTTAATTTTCAATGTTGTGTTGCTGTTCGGCTCCTGTTGAGTTCGATATTCGCTTTTTTGCAAGTGGCACTCGTCATCACCGCAAAAACACCAGAAGAGATTGAGAGGATAATGAAGGAACATAACATCGTGCCTGATATTGTCGATCATCCCCCAAAGCATGAACTGAAGGTAAGCATTCACTTGGTACTTTCAACACTGCGGAGGAGGTTTACTTACAGGCAAAACAAAAATTCTGTTGCTTTTCTGGTACCCATGCTAATGTATTTGCTCCTTATCTTTGCATGGAGAATTTTACTTGATATAGACATGGACTCTCAGGATAGCGTGGGATATCCCCTCCATTACGGCCTCAACTTTCAGAGCTTTTTTTGAGCTTCGGAGTTTGTCTCAGAAAAAAGTAGTGGCATCATCGTGTTGCACGCAAAATTCTACGTAGAAATCAGTACTTCAATCTTAAATTCCGGACACTTGCTACAGCCCTATTTCCTATGTACAAGTCTTCGTTTTGAGAAAGGCTAAATGATTTTTTTTCTTTGTAAGATCGTAACAGCTTCTGTTGCTTATTTAATTTTCTGAGAAAATGCAATGAGCATTGCACAGTCATTTTCTTCTTTCTTCTTTAGGATATTGTGTTTTTCGGCAAAATTCAACCTCGTCTCAATGCTGATTATGAGCGGCGCACGGTGGATCGAGTCAATAGGAGAGGTCGGACAAAATTTGGAAACTTTAAAAGCTTATAACTCTGTTTATAAAAAAACTTAGAGTTCCTAAAAAAAAGGTTCCATTGGTTTATTCGTGCAATTTTCTTCTCAAAGCACCCCTTCAAAAAATTTAAAGTGTGCCGAAATAAACACCAAAGCAGCTTTTGTTAAAAATTGCGTATCAGCCTCTCTGATTGACTCGATCCCTCGATCCACTGTGCGGTGTTTCTTCTGAACACACAGCAAATGTCGCAAAAGTTAAAAGAATCTAACTAAAAATACGTCTTTTTAGCTCTATAGACGTGTATTCGTATCGTTATCTTAATTTTAATTTTCGACTCAGCTTCCAAGTTATGGTTTTTCATTACGTATTCCATTATTTTCGGCGAGACAATAAGTTCTCAACTAAGACGTCACACGATTTCCGCTTTAAACCCCTGGTACTATTCTGCCATGCTAAGGAAGAACGCCGTATGAACCTTCAGGGATTACCAAATTTCCATTTGTTAAACACGAATTTCCTGGTAAATTTATGAATATTTTTCTTCCAATTTTTCAGATAATGTTATTTGCAATTTCACCTAAAGTTCTTGGAAATTTCAAGGAAAAATATTCACAGATTTCCTAAAAAATAAACATTTTATCGTAGGAAATTTGGCAACTCTCGAATGTTCATACTGTGTTCTTCCGTAGCACGGCAGTAGTCTCGAGCTATTTCTTGCTAGCCCAAAAAGGAAATACATACTTATATTTTTGTTTCACACAGATTAAATACGTCTACGGATACAAAGCTAATTTTGGAAATGATATAGATCCAAATGATTTGGAAGGACGACCATTCTGGGTCAGATTTCCGCGGGGAGTAGATGATTACTTCACTCTTTTAATGATTGGTAAGTCATTAAAACAACTTAACGAAGTTTTTCTGTCTCTCGTGTAGGGCTGGTCTCTAGCCGCTATTAATTCATCACAATGGATATATATCCAATATTCAAGGAGTACCGATTTCTAGAAATTATAAGAAGAGTATTATTTGTTTGAATCCAAGCGAAATTTTCGACTATCGAACTGGAGAGTGCCAGAGTAATAACATACCGTTATACACAACTGGAAACGACTCATATTCGCTATGTAGGCAAAAGAGGCCTTCTTACATCACAATACTATCAGATTTTCAATATTCGTAGGTTGCAACGAATCCTCATTGAAATAATTAAAGATAACTAATAAAACAAATAGTTAAAATGCTCACCCTAAAAATGTCCGTTTGCACAAAATGATTTCCCATAAAACAGTCAAAATGAGACTATTCGTAATAAAGAAAAATATCAAATTTGTTTGAGAATATTCTTGGAATTAAACTCATTTTTCCTCGTTTTTTATTATTGATGGCTGCAATTTTTAGGTATCACTGAAAAAATAATATGCTGTTTTAGCATCTAGGATGTCAAAAATGTTTCAGGTGGTCAAAAAATGTTGCCTTTACTGCCTTCGCAGTTAACTTTACATCCTGTGAATGCAAATTCAACTGCGTAGGCAATCAAGGCAGCATCCTAGGATCACCAGACACATTTTTGACATCCTAGGTGCTAAAACAGCATACCATTTTTTTCATTGTAGATTTACGTGTGGTTTACGCCATTTTTAATGGAATAGCTTATTGTAAGAGAGTAAAAGACTGTAGACAAAACCTTCCTCACAAGTAAGTAATAAACAGAGACTGGCGACTTTCTTAGACTTGTAAGGCACTTGTAGATCGTAAGTCTTTGAAGGTTTTTCATTTCTTTACAGACCCAGACCAGCCCTCCCGGTCGAAACCTGAGGAATCCGCGTGGGTTCATTGGCTTGTAACCAATATGGACGGAATCAGCGTATATTCAGGCGATACAATCGTCAAGTATTTGACACCTAAGCCTGAAAACGGAACTGGTATGTTTCAATCCTTATTGCGTGGAATCTAAGGGCTGATTTTATTGATAGTCGCGTCACTTAAACAGCTCCTTTTCTTGTAAGGCTCTGTATTGCTGACATTTTGATTATCGTTACATGAACCTCTAGTAACATTCAAGAGGATAACCTCAGAAATAGATCCATGCGAGAAATTGCAATCAGTCCATATTAGAAGAAATACAACAAATAAAATAATAAAAATCTTTGATTTTGCCTGTTTTTGAGGTCGGCATGGACCTTCCTTGAAATTATTATCACTATCTCTGATTAAAACTCGATAAATATAACTTTGGTTTTAGATCCTTGCTAGAGTTCATAGCGATTTGCCTCTCCCAAAAATGGAAAATGCGAAAGAAAAAACTATAACGTTTTGGCAAAATTTAAAGGAACCAGCCGTAAAATTTGGGGAACCTTCAACTGTGCGCTTGCTTTTTTTTTTGGATTTCATACTTCCAAAGTCATGCTGTTAAATTTAGTTCTTGGTTCGTAAATATCATCCGTTTTATGATTCTTAATTTAGGGCTCCTTCAAACTTTTCTTAGTCATAACAGAAACCATATATGAGGCCTTACATGTAACAATGGCGGATGTAAAGAATTACCTTTCCGAAACACGCCTTTAAAACGGTTTTGGTCACACAAAAATCTAATATGTTCGGCTCTGACATAATGTACAGATCTCGGAGATCACATTTCAAGTATTTTCTCAAAATTGTCTCGGTGCCAAAACAGTTGTTTGAACTTGTTTCGAAAAGATAATTTTTCACATCCGCCATTGTTACATATAAGTCCTCATATGATGAAACTCCCAAACCACTTATTTTGGTTTGCAACGTTGTAGACTTCCTGTCATACTTTATTCTTTGAATGAAAAACGACTCACTCAACGTCAATTCATGAAACCTTTGGAATTAGTACTTCTCTAGGTGAGTAATAAAAAAATTAGAGCTGTGCAAAGTTTATGCAATAAAAAAATTGAAACGGGGATTTTGAAACACTGCAAACGAGATGCGCGGTTTGGGAGTACCGCTGTCGATACAGAGTCTCTTTAAAAAATGGTATGCTTAAAGAACCACTATGGAAACGGCTTAAAGTCTGATTATAGCACACAAGGTGCATGACAGGAGTTTGCGATCGAACACTTTGTTACAAGAAAAACTATTTAGATAAAGTGAACGCGTGGAAATCCTTCATGCACGCTGGGCTTGTGGATTTCCTTTGACATTTTTGCAGTGGTAAATGCATAGCTGAAGTTCGCTTCAGCTAGAATTGTATTTACAAATGGGTGGTTTTCCTACGAGGATTAAAAATAAACAAGTGGCACGGAATATATCAAAAGAATGTGAAGTATGCAAAACGATAATCCGGGTATCAGAACTTGGCTGTTGTAAAAACGCCTTCAAATGCGGCGTGATACCTCACGCATTCCGGAGAGTTCAAATAGTTGTATCATTGCGCCGTAAGAATGTGACGGAAGATTTAAATGGAAATAGCCTTCATGGAATTACACCGAATGGTAAATGTGAAAAAAATAGTTCGGTTGCAGATTTGGCGAAGTTAGAGTAGTTAGTTCAATGTCCGATTTCTTATATTGTTCTAACCTACTTACCTTTCTAACTGCGCACTTTTTTTTAAAACTAAAAATGTACCCACAAAAGTAAGTAAACGTAATGTTCCGGCAGATGTACAAATTGTGTGGTATTTGTTTGCGGAAAAATTAAAAAGATGTTTCATTTTTTTCTTTCAGGGCCTCACCGATTTATATTCTTTATTTTCAAGCAGCCAGGTGGTCGAATGAATTTTACTGAAAAATCCATAAACAACACAAGGTGAGTCGAAATTGAAGGAATTATAGGAATTAGTAACGTGAAGATTTCAACTCAAATTGTTTGTTTTTCTGTACAATGAATCAAAGTAAAAGTCTCGTCTATATTATTATTCCTTGTCGCACCGAAATAATGGGTTGGTAGCACGCAAGAGATGTAGCCAAATAAGTAAAGATTTTTTTTTTGTCATGGGAACGGAGTTCCCCATGATATTAGAATCGTTCCGTTGCTTTCGCTATGGGATTCCCTATACCTCTGCGACCTTGAGCGTTTCGCCCAGTCTCCGAATTTTGGTTGATTTTCCGATGTATCAAAAACCGTTGTATTTTTTAGCCAATCATGTCTCTACGTCAAGTTGTGTTGATTGCTAAAATTCGCTTTCAGGGAGTTTTTTTCCACCTTAAGATGTCGTGTCTGACTGGTAAATCTGCGCAGAACCACGAAGTTCCGTTTTTAGGCAAATTCTTTTTTTTGGGAGGTTTTCATTGGCTATTTTTCGCCATCAGTTTTCTGTTCGTTGGTGCAAAAGATCGCCTACTTCGTTGCTCTTGAGAAGCCGCCATTATCCCACCTCAAATTTTAAACATAGAAATAAAGAAATTATAACTATTGTGCAAGGTGGAAAACTGCTCTGGAGGACCCGTTACGGATATATGAGCCAAAATCGGAACTCGATTGATTGATTTATTCCATGAATACAGAAATATTGCCTGAGCTTACTGCCGCGATGGCAAATGCCTGCTGATATGAACCTTGAGACACATGATAGCATAGGCAAACAATGTCTCACAGAGAAAGGCGCTTAGCTCGTTTCTCCAGAAGCTACGAAGACGCGAATCGCCGAATCGCTCAAGGACAACTCTTGTGATAAGTCCCGCCCATCGTCCGAGTCTTTTAAATGCTATTTTTTCTCCCATTGTCGCTGATATGTGACAGCCTAGTTGACTGAGGCGCCCCATATTTTTGATAAGGTGCGGGCACCCGGCGATCGGGAGTTCGATACCCGACGATGGGAACTACTTTTTAATGGTTGTATTGAATGTTTTAGACCAATCATCAACTAATAAATAATACTAGATGATAAATGTACGAACATTTTCTCGTGAGTTAATATGTTAAACAAAAATACTGGCGCGACCGTCTCGCTTCAGAGCACAACAACGAGTGCCCAAATTAATGACGTTATTTTCTTTTTTCAATAAAGTTAATTTGCATTCAACGTTCGTAAGTTAAGCAAAAAGTACCTATTGATACAAATAGAAAGACATGAAAATAGTATGTCTAACATTTCAGTTGTTTTTTTTTTTATTTATTTTTTGTTTTTTTGTTTTTCCAATACAACAAATTGACTGGGACTAGACTCATTGTATCTCTGAAGACAAAAGCTAAGTTTTTTGATACAGAAATACTAATATATTCATCCTTTATATAATCAGGGAGATGTTGACCCAAATATTGATGTATATTTTCTCTGTTCGACCAAATTAATGATGGTATTTTCTTTTTTCAATAAAATTAATTTACATTCCACGTTCTTAAAGCAATATTTTCTCCAAAATTCAGCAAAAAATAACAATTTATACCTACGCAAAAAGTAAATAAATAAATAAATAAATAAATAAAGCAATGACATGAAAGTAGTATAGGTAGTACACATCTAACATTTCAGTTACATCTATTTGAATGAAAAAAATGGCAACTTAGGAAGCACATAGGTCACTTATGATGCGTATTCGGGCATATGCGTCGAGTAAAAATATCATACTTTACGCCGAAAAAACGAAACTGAAAGTTAAATGCGTTAACTTCCGAAAACCATACATAATCCAACGAAAATAAATAATTGGTAAATATAACAGCTTTCTTGTATGCAAAGAAAAAAAATTAAAAATGTTAAAAAAGAGATGTCGACACAAAATTACATAGCCCCTTCAATTCTGAAGATACTACAAACGAACTGTACCTTAACATTTTCATATCCCAGAAGAAAAAGTTCCCATGACGAATATTGCTATCGCTAGCAATTGCAAAAACCAACTTGTTTATATTTTTTTTTATTTTTTATTTGTTTTTTTTACCACTTTACCACAATAGCTCACAAGGGCTAATCCTGCGCTTCAGTCCCGTCCTTTTCCGTCCCGATCTCAGGACATTTTGTCAACGATTTTTTGTCCGTGCACCTTTTTGGTCCAGTAGTTTACGCCCACACGTAAAATAAGCAACGGTGTCTTGGTCCAAGCGTTATATTTTAGTCGGTATGTAAAATTATGTTGACAATATGGAAATGAGAAATTGAGAGAGAAGGAGGTGTTGTTATGGTTGCTCATTTTCTAAATGATTGAATCATCTTTTTAAATTCTCATTGGTGAATATTTGGTTTTCTATCCTCAACATATCCTATGTACAATATACCTTATATACGTATGGGTACTTTTTTTATTTTTTTTTTTAATTTTTTCTTTACGAAATTATTACTTCATTTTGAAAACATTTATATTTTTAAAACGTGACAAATATGTGTAAAACCTTTTCCAAGCGACATTAATCTCAATAAGCCGCAGTTGTGCCGACAAAAACTGCAAAAATGAATAAAAGAGGGGAAAAAACCAAGAAGCACGCAATCTTTATTTTTAACCCATTTGTACTTCGATCTTTTAGATTCAAATACGTCAAATTTTGAGCGTTTGGTTGCGCGTACACCTCGCTGTAGCACAATAAAAGCACAGAATGTAAAAGAAAAAATTAAAGTGCTTTGGAAATCATTAAATTTGATACGGAACCACCAATATTTAAAAAACACACATCATATTATTGTTCTCCTTTGATAAATTGATACATATTTTTCCCCATCAATTTAAATGAGATTAATCAATGCAGAGTGTGCAAACATTTCAAAATCATGAGTTAAAAACCGCTGACTATGCGAGTATAAATATTAAAGCCTAAGAGAGTGGAGCGACGTGCTGCCAGCGCTAGAGCCTCACTGGCGCCTACAAACCTAAGTGGATACTTCGCGCATTGCACAATGCTTGAAGTATCCACTTAGGTTTGTAGGCGCCAATGCGCGTTTTGCGCTGGCCGCCCGCCCGCCGTGCGGCGGCGCCTGAAGCGACTATTTCACAACAGAGGTCTTGCACAGTATTATACGAAATTGAACGTATTAAGAATGACAGGCATTCTTTAAAAGTACAGATTTTTCCTCGCAAAATAAATTAAGATACTTATCGTACAAAGGAAAAATCTAAAAGCCTTTAGCTGAGGCAAATACAGAGGTTTATCCGGTTCAGGTATAACAAGGTGGGAATTTCTTGAAAGAAAGTCCTGTTACACCAAAGAGGTGTAGAGAGTTTTAGTGAATTTTGTCTCATGGAATTGATGCTCCCCCATTTTTACCAAAACTCTCAACTATATATTATTCTCCGTTGGATCAAACAGACAAAACAAAAAAACAAGCAAACCCTCATTTTCCCAAGGCATTATACATTTTCATCCAAAAACGTCATGAGCAATTGTCGTTTGTATTTGCATGTGGGCCAATTAACTTTGGGTCTCAACTGGCACGTGGACCAAAACTCCCGTGCCGAAAAACGCGTGGAAGTAAATTACTGGAAAAAACAGGTGCGCGGACAAAAAATCGTTGACGAAATGTCCTAAAACCTTCCGTCCCTACCAACCAGTCCCAGGCAACCATTATTTGAGACCATCGAACCCGGGACCTCCCAATCATAGAGCTAGCGCTACAACTACTACACCATAGGAGGCCGACAACGGGTGAAGTTACAAAAAAATCATACAATTGGCTCATCAAAAAAGTCTGGAATCCACTTCTTAGCGCAAAATTATAGAGAAATTGAAAAATATCGATGAAAAAACCCGAGGAAACATGTAGGTCTCAGATTTTTCATCGATAATTTTCGATTTTAATTCTATTTTTCGACTGAAAATGACTCAGTTTTGAGTCGAAACGTCTCGGGTTTTTTTATTGTATTTTTGCCTTCTTCCCCGCTTTCCCCCCTTATTTTCCTCCTGCTACCATTGTCTCGGGCTGCTTCGTAAAAAGTATCTTATTCAAGTTCTTGATTGTATTTTTGATCAAGGTGACTAAATGTTTCAGGTATGACGGGAAAATCCGTGGGCACTTCAACACAAAGGACTTCATAAAAAGGAACAAATTTGGAATCCCTCATGCGTCCACGTTCTTTTACAGTGAATATAAACCCCCTAGGAATGGCACCACGACTGTCCCTCCCGAATTTAGGTTTACTTACCAGACGATCGATGCTGACATTCTCGACGGAGATATTGACTACGACGTACACGGTATTCCAGGGATCAACAGCACTAGCCATACAGATAGCACAGGAAAAGACAATGCCTCGACCGCACACTCGCAGAAAAAATAAGTTCATTCATGTACTTTTGTTATTAGTAAGTGGAACAGGTCCATCATATGAACGTTAATGGTTAGGTTATACTCCTTTTTGTCATTTAAAAAAGTTTTTTTATGTTTCGGAGCGATATATACGACTATCCTTGCCGATTTCACTCAATTTTTAAGGCGAAGAAGAATTTCGAGATTAGGGTCGAATCCTGCATGGTTTTAATTCCCTGGAGAAAAAAAAACACATTGGATCTAGAGTCCAGACTCTTAAAAACATCGACAAGAAAAAAAAAATACTCTTGATTCAATCGGATTTTTGCTTAAATCAAGAACCAAGCCTCTTAATTTGAGCGGATTTCCTTTTGATTTAAGCTTAAATCTGATTGAATCAAGAGTATTTTTTCTTGTCAACGTTTTAAAGAGTCTGGACTCTAGGTCCAATGTGTTTTTTCTTCAAGTGTTGGCTTATAGAATCAATCAGGTATGGTCCCGAGGCCCTCTCGGCTTCTTCATCTGAGAAGAAGGTCCTTCTGACCGTTTTTGAAATTTCACCCTCATGACTTATTTGCAAATCGCACGAACTAGCTGACTCGTGGTACTTTTTTGACCAGAAAATCGAACTTCTCAGGCCATTTTTCGGGGCCAGCTTCATTTGGGCACAGTTGGAGAACTTCCGATTTTAACCCAAAAATTTAGTTTATGACCCTTGTCAAATTTTCTCAAAGGAAATATGGCAACGTCTGAATGGCTCATACGGCGTTCTTCCTTAGCACGGCAACAAAAAACTACATGGTTTATGATACGTACCGTTTTGTTATTGGTTTTTTTCTTTCAGGTTTCTGTAAAGTTAAAAATAATTTTACTCATAATTTGATCCGGATAACTTAAGGCAAAATATTCAGATCAATTGATTAAAGTTAATTTGTTTCATACCTGAAAAAAAAAAAAGAATTACCAAAAAAAAAACACCCATAATGTCGTGCGAAGGAAATGCCTCATGAACATTCAAAAGTTGCCAAATTTTCTCCGATAAATTGTTCATTTTTTTAAGGAAAGTTATGCGTGTTTTCCCTTGGACTTTTCACTTGTATCAGACTGAATTGCAAACAAAATTGTCACAAAGAATTGAAAAAAACCACAATTTTCCAAAGTAAATCCATTTTTATTAACGGAAATAAGGCGAAGTCTTTTTCGATTCGGCAGCGAAAAAACTACACGGTTCACAATGCACAATCATAGGATTTGTGCTGTTGGGCGTGATACCACTCTTCGACCTCCTGGGAGCTCATCTTGCCTATTCCATTAATTGAAGGCGTGTTTCATTGACGTCGCTTCGCGTTATCCACTTGAACCATCATGGTAACAAGAGGGTTCTAATTTTAAACTGATTTCTCCTATGACCTCTTCGCAAGAGATGTCTGAAGCGGTGCTATTATGTGTACCTACGTATGATTAATGTAGATGTTGTCAAATATCCGTAAAAATTACTAATTTCTCGGAAAATTTTTAATTTTTTGAGGGAGGGGTGTGAATTTACGGATGATCTAACTCATGATTTGATCCGGATCGTTCAAAAAATTACCCATGAATGTAAGTCACCAAAAATGTGTACATAATTCAGCAACGGCCAAAAAATTTGGATCCAGGTATAGTGTTGAATAGTAAAAGGCGTGATTTATGTTAAAACTTTTAGGTACTATGGAATTTGATGACAGCAATTCAATTGTAGTAAAAAAATATGCAGAATCGAAAGTTAAATGAAAATTAGACACTTTTCTGTGCCCGCTATGGGAAAACTTTTGGACTTTCATGATCTAGAAATGAATCAGTGGGAACGAAAACACACCATCTCGAAAAAATGAAAATTATCAAGACACACACAAAACTACACAGTAAGTGTACAATTTAGTCTGAGAAAAAGATTTCAAGTGTCGAAAGACAAGTACTTAAGGACACTTCAAAGGTCCTAGTTTGAACGGATACTCTGGCTTCAATGGCCTTTATTAAAATTGATTGTCTTTAATGAAAATTGAGCATTTTCGAGTTACCGAGTTGGTGTGTATTCGTTCTCACTGATTCTAATATTAGAACGGTAAAAAAAACATAAATTCCAACCTTTCCTAATTTGCAACGAACAGCACCTGATGTAAAATTGAAGGTTTTTATTGAATTAAATTTTAAGAAAAAGATAGAATGAAAGAAAGTATGTGATAGACTACGATATACATTGGTGTCAGATCAATTAGCTGAGAAATGTTCTCTATTTTTTTTTTTTTAAACTAAAACCGGTCGAATGCGATTTAGAAGAAAGGAACCAATGCATCTTTTTCGTAAATCTAAGTTGAGAGCCATATTGTGCGAGACCAAGTTCATTGATTTTTTTTTTTTTTTTTCGTTTGGAAGGATTGAAGGATAAAGTCTTAACTCTCTTTCCCTCTGCCCGTCCGCTGCAGCGTTCAGATGGAAAATAGGAATACAATTTTAAAATAAATTATGTAAGATTTATAATCACTTTACTGAATTGAACGTTTTCCTTAAAATCCATAGAAAAAGAGTTAGTTCTTTTCTGTTTCTATCGATTCAAATATATCAGTTCGATTCGCAGTTCTGTGCAAAACTAGTGGTGATTCTTGAAAGTTGGCAACGCTGTTTTCCCTCACTTTAATTGTGTGTAAAACAATCGATTATCGGTAACGCAACTTTCCTCGCCTAAAATCGATATTTTTAATGGATTCAAATGGAAGTAAAACAGTGTTGCCAACATATAAAATTTCTAATGTGCTCAGCATTAGGGACAAGGAGCGTAAATGAGCAAGAAAGTCGTAAGAAATAATATATTCGATGTATTTTGTAGCAAGTATTAATTTGCCACATTTTATACATATTAAACATGATAAATACATTACAGCACATTATTCAAAATCGTAAGAGGTCAATGTTATAAATGTTTAGTTCAAAATGTCCAATTAAAATTGTAATCAAAACAGAAATAAAATTTACAACAATAAACTAAAATCATATTGACATAGATTCAAGTTCAAGTTTATACATATTATTCACAGAAGAAAATATATTTAACGTGTACGTAAAGTTTAAGTGACTGCATCGTGTAAACTGGAAAATATTTTCACCAGTATGGTGCCCAAAAAGAAGGTACATAGAGGAGCGAAACTGTCTAAGAAGTTGCATCATTAGTCATTATTTTTCTTATCCTCGCAATATGTATATTTTAATCCCTTCTCTCCAACCGACCTTCGAGACTTCTTAGAAAAAATGTCAAAGAAAGCAAATAACTTTTCTCATTTTCCCTCGGATGGTGTGATGAGAATTAATTTGCAAAGTAAATGAGTTACTATACTCCGTTATTCAGAGAAGTCTAAACAGATGAAGGTCTACGGATATCACGCCTAAAATTGTAGATAATGGCAAGAAATTTACAAAATTTTAAGTACCAAAGTAGAACCAGAGAATAAGTCCGATCAAAATATAACAGGAAGTCAATAATACAAGTAAATGGTCCATAAATAGAGTTGTCTTCCTTCTTTTTTCAGACTTCGCAATCAATTCTCAGTCGAAACATATGTATTATTACAGGAAGCATGGTGGAAGTTTTGTTTTTACATTATTTGTTTTTTCATGTTAAGAGTAAATGAAATACTCTCACAAAGGGCCCCTTTGAAAGAGGGACTCAATTCATGGCTACGTCCTTTCACTGCAAAATGAATTTTTCTCAGGGTCTAAAAGTCCATTTTGAGTTTCTAGAAATAAATCGGGTTAAACTATTACAAATTCATCTAATAACTGGGGTATCTCGATAATTTTTCATCGTTTTTTATCTACACTCTGGCGTATATTCATTGACAATGTTCGTTTTGGAGAATATCTTTTTACAATAAGTGTCGTAGAAAAAATGTAAAACATAACAAAATTAGTATTAATAATTAATTTAACGACCAAAATAAAATCAAACCATCAGGAGACGCACCTTGGTTGTCGTAAATAAATATGTATTCATCTGTCAATGAAAAATTTTCTGACACAGTCTTTCCCTTTCAAATTTGTGTCCATTTCTCGAGGGGGGAATAGAAACACAAATTAGGCAAACGAATTCAAGGAAATATTACCGGATATCGAGAGGCCCATTTTAGTCACTGATGCTTTAATATATTTACTGTCATCGTAATTTTAAGGTTAAGATAGAAAGAATTCTAGAAAACGAGAGCTAGATGAATGTTCTTTAAAAAAAACAGCTCTTACAGATACAGTCAACAAGGATTCATTTTAACGAAATGGAACAACGAACTTGGTGTTGAAAACAAGGTTACGGTTACGGAGAAAAAAATAAAATGAAAAATTAACAAATCAATAACTGAATATGTACATATACGAACAACAGATACATTAATTTAGAAAAAAAGGCAGAGAAGAAAATGCACGGTGAAAAAATAATGCGCGCTTGGATGGTGTAGGCCAATATCTCCGATACAATTATTGTTTTAATTTACTGGAGTGGACGAATGTGCATGTGCAAGCCGTTGAGTTGCGCATTCGTAATCAAATCTTAGATCTTTGTCAAGAAGAGTCTTTAAAGATATCCATTCTCTCCAGATTCGTAAAGTTTTTCGAGCCAATTTTGGTACCAAGCTCTATAGTTTGTATTGTAATACTATAGTAACATCAAGACGGATAAAGGCGTTGGAGGGGGCGGTAGAGAAAGTTGGACGCATTTCGAGTTCAGCCGCCATTTCGGAAGCTGTGACAGGCAGAGCAGAGGGTGCATGTTTCGCAATTAATATACCGAGTACCGTGTGACGTTAAGAGGGCACAAGGTGCGATCACCATTGTTTTTCCGTCCTGGGGATCCTCCATGAAATCTATTTTTGATTTATCTAAGGACTGATTTCGTCAGTTTTGATAAAATCTAAGATTTTTAGATTTTGTTTCCCTCCTCCAAAATTTACGAAAAATGATGCCTCCAAGACAAAAATATTTCATTATGCCTCTCGAAAAAAAGAAGAGTTAGGGATTAAGTCCCAACTTGGACATTTCCAACTAATCGCAGAGATACCCGAATTGTGTTGATACCCCAATAAACCAGGTTACTAACGCAAATATTGCGCGCACCATCTCAACTTCAGTTGCAATATCACTAAAATTAATTGGAAATGTCCATCTCATCATTGGTGGATCCAGCAAATTGGCAACATTCTTTTTTCCCCATTTAANGCACGAAAACGCGGTCCGGACTCCTAGAACATCAATTTCTGTAAAACTTGGTGAAAAAGAAGATTAAGACATAGATGTTGTCTCCTCATCAATGTTAAAAACTGTGCGGGGCGGTGGTGGTTCGCGGAGCGAGTCGCAAGTTCGTCGCGAAGCGTAGAACTGGGGTCCAGGGGCACTCCCCGGCTAGACGTGTCAGCTCGCAAAGCGAGCTAATCACGACTAGTTTAAACCTATGAACATGTATCGATTTTCGAAGGGGCCGGGTGCTCCGACGATAATCGATTATTTACCCTAAGTTTAAACGGAGGAAATCCTGTGTTGCCAAGTTGCTGGATCCGCCCTAGTATATCTTCCACCGAATGGAGATGTGTGAGAGATTTACGATTTGACTGTTGATTCTTGTGTAAAAGTGCCCGAGAAACACGATGATGCCACTGTTTTTCTCTGAAATCAACTCCCAAGCTCAAAAAAAGCTCTCAAGTTGAGGGCAAAATGGAGGGGATATCCCATGCTATCCTAAGATTCCACGTCTACATCAAGACAAACTCTCCATGCAAAGATAGGGAGCAAATACATTAGCAGGGTTGCCGTGTTTTCAGTTTTGGAGTCCCCAAATGAAGTGGCAGCCCTGTCAATGTAGTTTGTCTTGATGTAGACGTGGACTCTCAGGATAGCGTGGGATATCCCCTCCATTTTGGCCTCAACTTGAGAGCTTTTTTTGAGCTTGGGAGTTGATTTCAGAGAAAACTAGTGACACCATCGTGTTTCTCGCGAACTTTTACATAAGAATCAACAGTCAAATCGCAAATCCCTCACACATGCAACATCTCCATTAGGGTGGTACAACAATTTCAGGGATAACCCCTGACGCGTTTTCTCCGCGCCGGTTCGAACCAATAGGATCCGCCGTTCGGAGGGAGGATGGATAGGGTCAAGACGGAAGCGGAAAACTATAACGAATCCCTCACTTAAATCCGTCGGAAAATGTCTGCAACGACATTCCGCCCCGATGTGTATTCAAAACAGAACGATCCGTGGAAGGCTTCGACGATGCGAACCCGCTCAAATCGCGACCAACAGTAAATAAATTTCCACGGCCCGACGCGCGGGGTTGCCGGATTTCGCCCGAAATCCGGGATCCCCACCGGGGTCCAGGATTCCAGGATCCATGCGGCAATTTTGCATACGAGCCCGGCGCTCCCCGGTTTCCCCGCTCGCGACGCCGGGAGAAGCACTCTGGTGCAGCTGACACCTTTCTTGAATTTATTGGCCGGGAGGTTGGATGCGCGTAAGTTCTAATAGCCTCCTGAAATGCTTGAAATGGGGTAATGTGCATAAAGCTGGAGACAAAGGAGACTGTATAAAGCGACCGGCTCCGCGAACAAAAGCCCCCGCTCTGTGGCCCCTTTTGACAATTTTTGTTGATAGCGTTTAATCAAGGGATTAAAAGGGCCGCTCTCGTACAAATTTTCCGCCCCCCTCCCCCTCCCGCCAGCCCTGCCTCCCTCGTCAGTTTTAAAATAATAATAATAAAGCGGTGCGGACTTTGAAACATGGGCCGGGGCAAGGTTATGACACTCGGTTTTCATTAGCCTTAAAATTCGTAAAATTGTCGAAAGCAACCCAAATTATTACTTTCATGTGCTGATAAAAGGTCTTGATAAGCGTTATTTGGTCTTTTAAGATATTTAATTCATGACGTCATGCAACACGTCATTGCCTTTGCGGACTTTGAGGCATGGGCCAAGGCAAGGTTATGATCCTCGGTTTTCATTAGCCATTTGATAAGCCTTGAAATTCGTCAAATTGTCGAGAGCAACCCAAATTATTACTTTCATGTACTGATAAAAGGTCTTGTTACTTGGTCTTTCGATACATCTACTTAATGACGTCATACAGCACGTTACACCGTTCCGGAATTTTTTCACTCCGCATTATAAGTTTGATTTTTTTTTTAATTTTCTTGTAATTACACCCTCTTTACTTTTTCTTCTTGTATTTTCCTCTAAAGATGCCTGCTTGGAACCAAAAGGTCTTACTATCCACTTGTGTAAAGCTCTTAAAAAATACGAAAAATTATTTTTCAGGAAATCCACGTTCGTTAATTCTCACGTAAAATTTACGCCTAGTAAAAAGTAGGTGTAGAGTCTTTTAAAAATTTCTGCTTTTTTGGGGTTTTTTTAAGCATTTTTTAAAAATAAATTAAGTGCGTTGAAAATCCGAGATAAATCTTCTTAGAGATTTTGAACGCTTTTACTTAAATTTTACCTTCCTTAAATTTGACCTATATATACCAAGATACGATTTCCAGAACACAGATTTTAATAGTTTTTTCTTTAAAGTTTTCTCTTTATTATTTCCGAATTTCTTATAATTATTTTCACAGTAGTTGCTCCTACACTGGAAAAAAACACATTGGATCTAGAGTCCAGACATTGACAAGAAAAAGTACTCTTGATTGAACCAGAATCTAGCTTCAATCAAGAACCAAGCCTCTTAATTTAAGCGGATTTCGTTTTGATTCAAGCAAAAATCCAATTGAATTTAGAGTATTTTTTCTTGTCAATGTTTTCAAGATTCTGGACTCTAGATCCAATGCGTTTCTTTTCCAGTGTAGTTTGGATAAAATAACAATAACGCAGAAATTTCGAGACACAGCGATCAAAGTAAGCGTTTTTCACTTCCATAGTCAACACGGCACCCGACGGGGGCGACGAGTGCTTAGTGTGACTAATTAGCTCTCGTAGCGCTTCGCAACCGGTTGCAAGATCACCCCCTTGAACCCCCGAATCCGCATCGTGGGCCGGGATTCTCGGGGAAGTTCGCCGGTGCCGTATTTGCATAACAACACCGTCGAGTGAAGACTCAAAAATAGGTAGTTAGGGGTAGCTCTCCGTCGAGGGGCTGGGACAGCGAGAGGGTGAGTTTCGCAGCACACGCGCCCTCATTAAAAGCGGGGGATGCGATTGAATATAGATTAGAGACACCTAGTTCTGTCCCGGCGTCGTTAATGAGAAAGTATCGGCTAACTGAATGTAAATCGCACGATACAGCCATGGCGGAAATAAGAGGAGCTTCTGGGACTTGACGCGGCAATTAGACTCCCCCGTTGCCGCTAAGACGAAAATTATCGCATTTTTTGGCTCGATTCCTACGGAATGGAGATGTTGCATGAGTGAGGGATTTGCGATTTGACCATTGATTCTTATGTGAAAGTTTGCGAGAAACACGATGGTGCCACTGGTTTTCTCTGAAATCATCTCCCAAGCTCAAAAAAAGCTCTCAAGTTGAGGCCAAAATGGAGGGGATATCTCACGCTATCCTGAGAGTCCACCTCTACATCGCAAGACGAACTCTCCATGCAAAGATAAGGAGCAAATACATTAGCAGGGTTGTCGTGTTTTCAGTCTTGGAGTCCCCAAATAAAGTGGCAACCCTGCTAATGCATTTGCTCCCTATCTTTGCATGGAGAGTTTGTCTTGATGTAGAGGTGGACTCTCAGGATAGCTTGGGATATCCCCTCCATTTTGGCCTCAAGTTGAGAGCTTTTTTTTTGAACTTGGGAGATGAATTCAGAGATAACCAGTGGCACCATCGTATTTTGCGTAAAATGTTGGTTAAAAAACAGGCATCAGAATGCTTAATCTGTACCTTGTCTACTTGTCCATTTCGGAAATAGTTTTAACAGAATATACACCCCAAAACGATTTGATGTTAAGTTACGGCGATTGCGGAGCGGCTGTCTATGAATGACAGAGTTTAAGGGATGATAACAGGAAATGCACTAACTGCACTAATGTGCTAATTTGTACTAATTTTGCACTAATTTTGTGTAAGTTTTGTATCCCGTCGGGAATTAAAAATTTTCAACCACAAAGGAACAGACACGTGACAGCCTTGGTGTGTCATTGTAGGATAAATGAAAAATCGCTGTATTTTTCGATGCAAAAGATGTTACGCAAGTATGAGTGGCAACTCTGGTTAATTTTGAGAGCTTTTTCCGAGCACGGTTTGGCGCTCACGCTGAATGGGAAACATAAATAAGGAAACTATCAATTATGCAAATTGCGAATAAAAGCGGTGAAAAAGCGTGACTTCGAGGATTGGGGGAAGTATCGCAATTCTTGGAGGCTCTCTCCGGGGAAGTTGAGCTACTAATTTCTCGTTGATTCTCAGCGCTAATGATCTGTTTTAAACGCCCGTCCCTCCTTCGTACCGGTTCGGCGCTGCTATAATCTGATTAACTGGTGTTGAAAGAAAAGAGCAGAGTTGATTAATTATTTGGAAACGCTCCGAAGCTTTTTCTTCTTCTCTCCCTTGTTTCTCTTTTCTTCTACGCCATACTTACAGAAACGGAGATGAATCAATAAATTCGATAGGCGCAAGAAAATGTTGTGCCGGCTATATTTTCCGATTTGCATCAATTTTGAAAATTTCAGGAATCGGTTCGGTGCATTAAATTGAGAAAATTTCGAAGGGTACTTTTGTTTCGAAAACCTACATTCAACATTACGATTGAATTTTGCAATTAGGAACTACAATATCTGGCTCATCCGTGAAGATGAAGACACTTGTGTGCATGGAGAAATGTATGGTGGTTAAGTTGATTCTAAACTGAGCCAGATATTTTAGTTCCTAATTGCAAAATGTAGTGGATACTTTAGCTCCTAATTGCAAAATGTAGTAGATATTTTAGTTCCTAATTGCAAAATGTAGTCCATTTATTAATTCACCCTGAAGAACACCGCAGAACGAATTTTCCGGTTCAAAAGCTTAAAGATTTCTTTTTAATTGTATTTGTAAAGGTTGTCAAAAATATTAAAACAAATTATTTTCCTTATATTCAAGCGGTGAAACCCCGGAGGAAAGCGATTTTGCAAAATATTTCTCGCCAGAAAAAAGTTTCAATTTGGTTTAAAAATTGTCTCAACTTATGCCAAAATTTTAAGATGCATATTCAAACTTTCCTCCAATAAAACCTTTTGGAAATTGCACCAAATACCAAACTTACGATGCACACAACTCAAAAAAAAACTGCGAGAACCTCTTATGGAGGAGTTCAAGGAGATGAATTCAGATGGGTTATGAAATTCTACGCGGCTCTGGCCCTAAATCACCCTAAAGCGCACATTATAAACGAGTTAATTTGGTTTGTAAATGTTGCATTTTCACGCATTGCCACTCGGACAATATTATTTTCTTCAACCTGCCTTCTTTTCAGGAGAAAATTATATAGAAAATTATAAGAAATATGTACCTCTACAAAATTTACCGTCCAACAATTTCAATGGTTAAAGGACTCACAAAAATTCATAACATGATTGGGTGTGAACGAGGGAAAATTAATCCTTGCTGTCATAATTTCATCACCATTGTAAATAAACATTCGTTTTTCAAACGACAACATTTTTAAAACCTAAAACAAGAATCAACAGACAAGTGTGCCTTGATTAAATAAAAATGTGGAATTGAAATCAAATTTAGGGAAAATTGAATTCTAGGGCGCAAACGAAAAAGTGATGCATCTCGAATAAAAGAGAGAGCAAGGAAAACTAATCCTGCATCCAAGACCGATGTTTTGAAAGCTCCATTTTTCATGCATCATATTTTTCAGTTTGTCCGTATCTTCAAAATAAAAATTGATTCAATAATTACTCGCGGAAAGTCTGTCTTAAATTTTAGTGATCGTTTTACATTCGTAATAAAATTTAAATTTGAAAATGTAAAATGCTTCATTTTTATAAACTACCCCAAAATTTGGATTTAGTTTAGTAGTTGATATTCAGTTCGGCTGTAGAAATAGTATGATTGCTGTAACCTACTTCATAAAAAGTTAAAATCATATAAAGTTATTTCATCTACATATATGCAAACCGTTTTTGCCCAGAGAATTGCAGAAGATTGTTAATTTCAATCCAAGAAATAAAATTTGATAAGTCCAGAGGATTTGATAAAATGCTTATTTGACCATGGGCTATTGAGACCTAAATTTTTCGATGACTGCTTATATGTCATTTAATCCAAGACTTACTGGAAAAATCATCGCCATTTTAATTTTAACCTCAATTCCACATTTTTAAATCACTAGAAAGATACAAAATTATCAGGAGGAACAACTTAACAACAGAAAATAACAAGAAAATAGGACAACAGATGAACTGGACTTCATCTTGCAGTAAAGGAACTACTATTTCCGGCTCATCTTAGAGAGAACATGAGTGTCATTAGATTTCCTAAGTAAAAAAGTTCTTCCATGGCTGAGCCAAAAGTAGTACTTCCTCATTGCAAAATGCAGTCCAACTAAAAGCTAGGAAGCGTCCCTGGAAAAACAAGAGGGGAAACATAATAAAAAGAAAACGACAATAGACTGTTCATAATTTGGTCCAACAAATATACTGTTAGTAACGAAACAACCTAATATAAAGTCAATACATAACTTAAAGCGCATTGGCATGGACGAATACCGGGACTAACAGACTGTAAGTTCCTGCGGAGTTTATGAGCCGATTAAATAGCATTCCTCGAATAATTCCCCGGATTCGCAATGAATGAGTAGAGATGGCCGGGGTAGGAGATGAGGTGGGGGGTAGGAAGTCAGTGTTCTATTGGTCATGAATGACTTAATTGTTAAATTCCGTCTTCTAATTCACCATATTTTGAAAACTGTTGCGCGAGTTGTAACTGTTGGCAGAGAGTATTATCCGTTTCAGCATTGCAGCATATTCAAAATTCTCTTTAACAGGATGAGAAATGTTCCTCAGAAAATTTTAAAAAGTGATAATTTATTTTTTATTTTTTAAAATACTTATCTCTGACATCAAAGGCTCAAGAGAAATAAGCATGCACATCTGCGGGGATACTTAAATGTGCCACTTGAGAAAATAAGAATTTTCAACTTAATGTACATTTTATTAAGCTAATAGTTGGCGCAGGCTGCATTTGTTTTCCCTCGCGCGTTGGGATTTCAAAGAAAATTGTTAAGAATTTTTTATCATAAAAAAGTAAAAGTATATGTTCATTGATTCAAATATACTTTCGATAACATTAACAAATTGGAGGGGGGAGGGGTAGTTGATTCAAATGATCAATTTATTTTGCACCTGGTTCTGATGACTGCTTATTTTGATCAAACATATTTATCTTGATGTACGGATGAGTTTTATTTAGGGACAAAAAAATATCAAAATTTGGAAAAAGAGCCAGACATATTCGATATAATCGTTTATTTAATCTCGAGTCTGTAAAAAAAAGTTCAACTGGAGAGAGGCATGTGTTGAGAGGACGCCTGCCAACATACGTAAGCATTTAAAATTATGAATGAAAAAAAGCTTAAACCTTAATGTGCTTCATAAAACGGGGAAAGAATTATGCGCTGAATCGGAGGGTAAAACTCGAAATTACCTTAATCGTTCCGAGAGCTGGTCTGTTGTACATCCTGTTTATATGTTTCTACGAGCGATAAAATATTTTATGCGCATTTTTTGATCCGCTATCTTATGACGCGGCGCTATCCTTGCACTTGCAGCAATTTTTTGTCTCCCTTTTTTGTTACATGAATAAAGAACGAGTTCATTTCCAGATGAGTTCTGACAACCATAAAGAGACAATTGCCTTGGAAATCCATAAAAATGACCGCGAGTTACTTTTTAAAAATGTATGTTCTTATGTTTATTATTGATGTATTTTGTAGATAAATATGGTATCAGCTTCCTACCCTGCCGTATAGAAGGGAAAATGCATGGAAATAAGTGGATGGATAATATAAAAAAAGCAAAGAAATAGATAAAAACTGAAGTTTCGAGGAATACGATCAGTCATCTTTCATGATTTAACTGGGCAGTCACAAGAAAAATATTTAAACGTCTCCTAGAAGAGATAATCTGAGGGGGAAGAGCATTCAAATTTTCATAGAGCGTTTCACTCACCTAATCAATGTAATATAGTGAAGCAATGAAGTATATCATTAAGTTTTCAGCTGAATTATACTTGATAATATTACACGGTCGACGTCAAGTATTTTTTATCAAGAGTTGGCACTTTATACTCATTCGAAGTATTGGAAAAGGTTATGTACTCGTTAGGGTACAATTTAATACTCCTGAATCCAAGGAAAACAGTCATCACATTGGATTTAAACAATGGCATAACCTTTCATAATGCTACCTATGGAGACAAACTGATATCTTTCGACTTTCTGGTATACACCAGCGGGCTGACTGTTGAAATTGATCGACAAAGCTACAGACAAAGAAGACGTAGGGAATGCGGAGTGCTCCAGTCGGTTGAAACGGTTGGTTTCTATAGACTAAGGTTCAAAATAAAGGACTAATTGGAGGGTCTCTCGTGGGTTGCCATTAGTTAGTCTATTAACTACCTTCTTTGTCTATTGCAACCACCCCCTTTCACCAATAGGATCCTTCCAAATTGCTTTTGTCTTCTTTGTCTATAGCCTTATCTATCAATTTCAACAATTAGCCCGCTGTGGTGTACGACTGAGTAAACATATTTGGAGGACTTACAAAACTACGCCATGCAGGATGGAAACGCAAGCAGAGCAAAACAAGAGGAACTGGCGAGTCGTTGAAACCGGACGACAAATTTCGATTGCAATCCACTAAAGACTATTATCACAGCCGGATATCCGTCCATGCCGGGCGCAAAACAAGTAGCTAGAACGATCTCGAGCGACCGGGTCGGAAGTCATTTGAAGAGGATCCTCCTGAAGGCTCGCCGGAAGTCCTTGTTGAAGATGGTGTAGATCACCGGGTTGAGGGCCGAGTTCATGTAGCCCAGCCAGAAGGCCACCGCGAACGCTTTCGAGGGAATAACACAGATGCTGCACAGGGGCGTGAGGATATACAGGAAGAAGAAGGGCAACCAGCAGGCGATGAAAGACCCCATAATCAAACCTAGAATCAGCGTGGCCCGCTTCTCCTTCTTCCGGGCGATGCGCCGCTTCTCCCTCTCAGGGTCCCGCGGCTTCTGCGGCTTGACCGACTGCTGGTGGACGATCTCGATCTGGTTGCCGGGGGTGATCTCTACGGGGTGCGGGGACCCGATCTTCCCCAAGTCTATCATCTCCCGCTTCTGCTTGGACGACTTCTTGAGGCCGCCGAAGATCGGTTTGCACAGCCGGAGCTTGAGCGGCTTCACCACGGCGCAGCGGCTCACGACCCCGGAATCGCTCGAGGAGGGGTCGAACTCGCTCACCAGGTCCGTGTCGATCCCGACCGAGGGTGCCCGGCAGCGCGCGTTCGACATCGCCGCCAGGTCCCCGTTGATCGACAGCGTGGAGCCCTTGAAGTTCTGTCCTAGACTCTGCTGCGAGGGCAGCTTTAAATTCGATATAGTCAACACCTTCAAAGTGTCTTTATCCTTATCTAAATTTTGTACACCTAGGCCTCCGTTGGTGGGCGGCGGGGGCGGGGGCGGGGGCGGGCCCCCGTCGGGTGGGCCTCCTCCCGGGTCGGGCCCCTCGGAGGTGGACACGTCGGAGGCGAAGTCGCAGGTGACGACCGGGATGGACTTGGACTCGATGGTGACCGCGGGGGTCTTGGAGGAGGGGGAGCGGAGGGAGGCCGATCCGTGGACCGGGAGGCTGAGGGTCCCCGTCTTGGGGGAAATTGTAAAACTAGTGGTCCGGTCGGCGTGGCCCTTGACGTCGGAGCTCCCGCCGACCGTGGCGCTCTTGGGGCGCTGGAGCTTGCGGATCCCGCGGCGCGCCCGCGCCTTGGCTGCGTAGTATATCCGGATGTAGACGAACACCATGATGCAGCTCGGGATGTAGAAGGAGCCCAGCGCCGAGTAGAGCACGTAGCCGATGTCCTTGCTCAGCTGAAACAGACAGAACGAAACGGGAAACGTTAGAAATCTGTATCTATTCACTCCGGGCAAAAAAGTCTATGACTTTCCGTCGATGAAATTCTATAACTAAGTATAAAGCAACGACCGTGTCTACTTTTATCCCTGCGGAAGTGGCTATGGGGATAATTGTCACCTTCGAGCCAAAGTATCACAAGCTCCCTGTGAGGTTCACAAATCTCCGCCGCCATTTTATTTTTTTACAGAGAAATTGTTGGTTGGCTCTGCTTGAAAATTTCACTGAATTTTATCGGCAGCACGAAGAAAATTCAGTGAAATTTTCGGACAGCTTTGTTGAACAATTTCTCTGCAAAAAAATAAGATGGCGACAGAAATTTCGGAACGTCGCATGGCGCTTGTGATACTTTGGCCGGAATGTGACGAGATGTTCAAATGTTCATGACTATCACTATGGCTATACTAATAGTCATATTCAAGTAAAATACGTATTTAAAGGACGTGTCCCATGAAGGAGGGTATTTTGGCCGTAACTTTGGTCGAAAATTGAAGCAGCTTAGAATAATGTCATGTATGGTCAAATCAAGTCTAGGACTAAGTGAGTTTTTTAGATTACCGCTCTCTTTTTGTAACGTAGTATCTTGATTTATTTTGCAAGGAAAGCTCTGTACCCTTAAAGAAAGCTTGTCATTCTTGATACGTTGGAGCGTCTTCAATCTCGTATGATACTGTGCAACACCTATGTTGCGAAATAGTTGCTTGAAACGCCGCAGCACTCCGTACCACTCCGTGGCGCGGCAGGCGACCAGCGTGACACGCGCACAGGCGCCTACAAACCTAACAGGGATACTTCACGCATTGCGCAACGCGTGAAGTATCCCGTTAGGTTTGTAGGCGCCGGTGCGCATTTCGCTCTGTGTTAGGCTCAAATATTTAAACTCGCGGAGTCAGCGTTTTTCAAGTCATGATTTTGAAATATTTGCACGCTCTGCACGGATTAGTCTCATTTAAATTGATGAAAAAAAAAAAATATGTATTAAAGGAAAATATGACGTGTATTTTGAAAATATGAAGGTGAATCCGTGTCTAATTTAATGATTTCCAAAGCTTTTTAATTTTTCTTTCATATTTTGTGCTTTTATTGTGCTGCAGCGGGGTGCATTCGCAACCAAACGCTCAAAATTGGACGTGTTTGACTGTAAACGATCGATGTAAAAGTGGGTTAAAACCAAAGATTGCGTCCTCCTTGGTTTTTTCTCTCTTTTTCATTTTTGTATAGTTCCTTTCAACACAAGTACGGTTCATTGAGATTCTGCTGTGCTAAGGAGGAGCGCCACATAAAAATTCGAGAGTTACCAAATTTTCTTCGATAAAATGTTCATTCTTTGGGAATGTTTTGGATATTTTCCATGAAATTTTCAGGAACTTTAGGTAAAATTGTGAAAATTATCTGAAAATTATATGAAAAATATTTACAAATTTTCTTAAAAATTCGTGATTTACCTAAGGATATTTGGCAACTTCTACAAGCTCATACGGCGTTCTTCCTCAGCACGGCAGTATTGACCTAGAGTCAGACGTGCTGACCACGAGGCTAACCTAACGGGTATTTTATCCCTTCCCCGATGGATGGTTAAACATCTCCATTTTCGGAGTAGAGATTTGATTAGCAGGGTATCTCTCGGGTTCGACGACACAATGCCGTCGGAAAATCCCGAGTCGTCATTGCGAGGGCGAAGTTGTTTATTATGTGCCTGGATTGCGAATCGAAGGCGCGAAAGAAACCCGATCGAGAAGAGCCATGAGGAAACAGCGATGAGCGGACTAACTCGACGCCCCTGGATCAAGGAAATGAGCGACCGGTGGATTCCCTCCCGAGCAAGTTCGCCGCGTACGTCGAGAAAAGAAAACTAAATTGACATCGGGATACGGAACGAAGTAGGAAACTTTCCCCGAGTTTTTACTTATTCCCGAAAACTCATCAGAGGTGTCCAACTTTCTGATAGCGTCGCGGACATGCCGCGGCAACGACCGCCTGTTGCCGAACCGGGAGGCACTGGATTTCGTCTTCCGAATCATTCTTGTCTTCTACGTTTCTACGTTTCTACGTTGTTTCTCTGACGTCAGGACGTAGCTACTGTTAGGATCCATTATTTTTAAATAAATTCTTGCTCTGCCTTTAGGGCTCATTTGGAATAGATTTGGTGACACATATCTAATGATTGGTATATATGAAATATCATATGGATTGCATTTTGCAAAAAAGGAATAAGAAGTATTGCAATAATGCTAAGACTGTGCAAATTCATCGTTTGCAATAAAATTACGGAAATCTTGAAAATTTATGAAATTTAAATGATAATTTTTGTCTTCAATTTACAGTTTTTAGCGAGTAAAATAAAAACTATTAATGGATAATCAGGTCTTTCCTCCAAGACAAAAGAAGAAGCACAATCTTAGCAACATTGCAAAATGCTCCTGGTTCCTTTCTCCAAAATGCAATCCATATGAAACACATGATGAGACACACAAGGAAACACAATTTTCCTTCATTCTNGGTTTCCCGCTACTGAACGGCCCATGTTACAAAAAATATTTGTCATTTTGGGCCTTTAAGTGCTTATAACTTTTTGAAAACTCAATGGATCTGGATGAAACTTTCCCACTTAGTAGGCCCAATTTAGGTGCGTCATTAGACACCAAGATCAATGGAATCCGTGCCGTCGTTTGGGCTGCAGTCGAGTTCGAGTCGAATCAATTTTCAGAATAAGGGAGTTACGTGTGTCTATGGTTGGCTGCCACCTTTTTCGTTTGGAGGCTTTCCAGTGTTGTCGAGTTTAGACTTTGTCCGGAGGTGGCTACCGCCACCCATGATAAGAGAGAAAATTCAGTCATCCTTCAATTCTATGGTTATGCAATTTGAGTCACCCAGGACAGTTGTTTCATTTAATTTAGTTTCGTAACATTAAAGTTCTCGAACTGAACAAGTTAATATGTGTTTTGTGCATTTTCTCTCTGTAGATACACGCTTCCACTTCTCCAAATAAAAACTACTGTACTTACTAGAGTACCTATGTATAGGAAGAATATGGACAGGTCGAATCTTACATATAAAATGGAGCTCTTTGGGCCCAAAAGAGCAGAAAACCTTCGAAAACGAAAACTGTCGCTGCCATTTCAATATCAACCCCAAATGGCCAACTACTATTTCCTTGAAGACGTTAGGAATTAGGATCTGCCAAGATAAGACACCTTTTTTTTTCTTTTCTTTTTTTTTTTTTGAAAAGTACATACATATTTATGAATTGATACATGTAAGTATTTTCGGAAGTTGTTGGCATAATTTCTTCTGCAGACAATTTCCATCAGGATTTTTTTCAACTCGCGTAACGCAATTCCCCTCCTGGAGCGAACTTTGAACTAAAGGTCTTCTTAAAATCCTATGAAATAGTAGTGTTTAACGAATGATAGTTCCGTCCCGTTCCCGTGAAACTTTTTTCGTCAAACAAAGGAAGACGGCCCGGTACCTCCGTCAAAAACGGAAATAAATAAAAACCACGAGCACAGCCATGGACCCAGACTTCAAAAGTCATTCGCTTTTGAAAAAGTGTGCGACCGGGCGTGCGGCCAAGGATGTAGCTAGACAATTAAATGTTTAGAACAAGGCTCGTCCCTTTTGTTGCCCCGTCACGGATAGGTATTGAGAAGGAGGCGAATGAGCGAAATTGAAAAGGCCAAGAAAAACAAAGAGGGAAAATTGTTTTCGCCGAGGAGTCTCTTCCAATTAAAACGCCGTGTTTACCTTTCCATCTCCGCTCGACGAGAGCGCCTCTCCGTCCTGAGGAAAAACGCCGTATGCACATTCAAATGTTGCCAAATTTCAATCAACTACTTTATATTCTCGAGGTGAGTTAAGGATATCTCCCACAGTATTTTTTTTTTTTTTTTTTTTTTTTTTTTTTTTTTTTTTTTTTTTTTTTTTTTTTTTTTTTTTTGTACTTTAGCGTAAATTGCGAACCAAATTGGAGTCGATTTCTGGTAGACTGGTGTAAATAAGTCAAAAACTGGACGTATTTCTATCAAACGGAACTATGTGCATTAAGACATGAGCCCTGAGACCCATAGGAATATATGCATAACAGAGCTCAAGTCATAATGCACATAGTTCCGTTTGGCAGAAATACGTCCAATTTTCAAATTATGTTTTGTTTTTGACGGTTGGACTGCATCTTGCAATTTGGAACTATAAATCCTGGCTCTTCTGGAAAAACAGTTACGTGCATAGGGAAACTAATGGCACATACATTGTTTTTAAACCGGGCTAGAATTTATAGTTCCATATTGCAAAATGCATTCCAGTTCGTCCTCTCCCGCACGAAGGAACGTATATAACTCCATTCCAACAGTGGCGTGACGTGAATGGACCACTAGACAAGGTACGAATTTAAGCAATCTGATACATGTTTCTTAACCAGAATTTCACGTAGAAAACGATTCACACAACGAAAATTACGGAAACCAACTCCTAACGAGGATATTAACGTTTCTATTTCACATTGGTTACGAGGAATTTGAACTGCCCGCTCACAAGAAACTCAAAACTCTGCGTGAGTCAAATCGCCCACTACAACGGTTTCAGCAAGCTTCTCAATCGAGCAATGTTCATTTCCCATCATGTGTTGTTCAAACTATTAGCACTTTGCTATAACTGAGCCAAAGCGTCAAGATTGAGGTTGCCAGATTTTTATATCGCAGAGACTGTCATGATAACGTTTAGCGCGCGATGTGAATCACGTAGAGCATTGAGTTTTCATGAGCGGGTGGTTTGAATTCACGCATTAAGAATCATTAAATATCTTCGTAAGGAGTTAATTTCGGTAATTTTCGTTGTGCGCGTCGTATTCTACGTAAAAGTTTAATTAAGAAACATGTATCAGAATGCTGAAATTCGTACCTCATCTAGTGGTCCATTGCGATAAATCGACTTTCATGCCATTTAAATCTATGGAAAAGAA